AATGGTATTTTTGAAAAATAAAACTTGTAACGGTATTTTTTAAAAATACCTATTTTCATGGTATTTAAGAAAAGTTTCTTTTTCAATTAAGTATAATAATTTTTTTTTTAAAAATGTTTATTTCAATTAGAGTTGTGGATTAGTCGTCTTGAGGTGTGAATGGTGTATTAATTGTATATGAATGCCAATAATATGAATGAATACACTTGAAATCCAAAGTAGTGTATAGTGAAACTCTTTGACTTCCATATCGTCCGACGAAATCGTTGTCACAACAATTCAAATCGCTATCATTTAGTCTTGTTAATGTCCATCAATAGTCCTAATCCATCAATTGTCCTCTTTTTTTGTTTTGAACGGCTAACAATTGTTCCTCACTTTACGTTTCTTGTCACTATTTTTTTCTTTCTTATGATTAGGAAACTAATTTTATGTCATCTTCAGTGAATCAAAATAATGAAGGGACATATAAAATACAAAATAAAAGGAAATTTACAAGTAACAACATTTATCTTCTAGCTGAAACAAAATTAGATCAAGTGGTATAATTCCCACTTGTGTTGTCATGTAGATATAAGTTAGATATAAGTTAGAGTGTTAGAGTTAAGGAGTTAATTATTTTCAATAGAGAAAAAACTGATTTAACCAGTAATGTCATACTATAGATTTATTTCTTTTATTTATCAGCAAAAGGAATTTACGAATATTTTTTTTGGGAAAACAATTTTTTGAAAGAGTGCCTTGATTCTAGTCTAGCTACAAAAGTCAAAGACTTTGACTTTTTACTTTCGCTATCAAGTTATGAACGATCTCGAGGAGATAATGACGTGGATAATATATATCTTTATACATTTAGCATCGAATTATGAAACCCACTTAGTATCAAATTTTATACATGTGGAGAATTTTAACAGCAAGAACAAGAGAGAGGTGGACATGTTATAGTGGAAGCTAGATTTTTGGGATTTCGAGTTGAAAAATAATGAACCATGCATATGCCACAAAGTAAAAACAAGATGATTAAACTTTTGTAATAATGTAATAGACATAATTCTACCATCCCACCCTCAATTTCGTACCAAATTGATATGATTGGACACTTCGAGAAATCTTTTCCATACTTGGGAATTTGGGATACCACTTAATAGAAGAATTATTAACCAAAAAAAAAGTGAATGTTGTGTTGATTTACACTATTACGATCATTGTTAATTTCGACCTAAATTTAATAGTTTTATTCGATATGTGTTTTAATTTGTCAGTTCAAAATTAACATGGTATCAAAATTTATTATATATAATAACCAATACAAATTAAAAATTATACAGATTAAATTTTATAATACGCCAATTTACTGTTATTTAAGTTAACTCTTGTTGGACTTTATTATTAGCCACTCTTCATTACCAATCCCGAACACCTAAAAGTTATCAAAATAGATGTGTATGCATTGGAAATTTTCATTAATATGTAATGTACGCGACTACGTAAGCATACACATATTACATATACAGTGACGATGTAGATACGTGAATAAAATTATGCATGTAGTATTTATAAATTACGACATGCGTAATAAATCGATGCATACATCAGAAGTTATAGTTGTAGTTTTATTCTTTCTATATATACGCTTTAGAATCTATGAGAAAGCGAATGTGCAATATACACCACACCAGTTTCTTTTTACCCAAACTTGATAGTGAAATGTTTCGTTACGTCATAAGCCGAAATAAGCCATAAGAAAGGAATGTAACCTTTGGGGAAAAGTTAGAGAATGTAACCAAAAAGTTGTATTTGTGTGATAGGCATTGAACATCGTTGATGGGGCTTTAGCGAAGTATGGGCTTTGGCCCTGCTGGGACAATAAAGAAACTCAAGGGTGTGAAATGGTATGAATAGCGAAACATATTGGGCCTTAAAATTCATAATGTTGTTCTTTACTCTTTCTGTTTAGGTTAGATTTATATGCAGTTGGTTTATTTTTGGTTACTATGATGAGTTGTGTGAATGAATAAGCGCAAGCATATGGCTTGTTTGTTTTCAGTGTAGTGTGATATAGTGTGTCTAGCCTTAGCTTTTGAACATAAGGTTACATCATCATTATAAATATTGATATTAATCTTATTATGATGATATATATTCATGTACGTACATGCAATGCAACATATGAATTTGAGTTCTATGAAAACAATCTTGAAACTCTTTCAAATTATAATTCTATGAAAACAATCTTGAAACTCTTTCAAATGATAATTCTATGAAAACAATCTTGAAACTCTTTCAAATGATAATCTATAATTTCACCAAAGAGGAATTTGAATAGCTACCTCATTCTTTTTCTAGGTTTATCGGCGTATTGATTTCTTCATGCATGAAACATCTTGTTTGATCATAAAATAGTCATTAATTAAGCTAAAAAGGTTACTGATTTAAATCACTCTAAATTTCATTGAAAAAAGCACTTGCACTTGTACTGAATTATACAACTAATTATACTGAACTATTATAGTATTTTATACCAAACTGTAATATATAGCTTAATTAGTAGCAACAAAGTAGACTACAGTGGAATCGATATTGAACGACTTGTGTTATTCATCATCCTACACAAAATAAAAAGAGAGAGAATCAATGATTTAAAATTGTATGGCTGATATTTCATGGAATAAAATTCTTGAGATTGTGGACAAATATATCAGAATCATTTTAGAGCGAGGTAGGAATAAATAAGAAAATATGTGGATAGCACTCATGCGACCCTCACGATTGACAAACCAATTTAAATTTTTTATAATGGAAAAGAAGAATGTCTTCCAAATTTATGTAATTTTTTCGATAAATAAAGATAAAAGTCAAAACCGAATAAATTTAAAGAAAAACTAAATTAATCTTATCTATGACTTTGTTTTTAATAATAAAAGTGATTAGTTTGATTTATGAATTACAAGGACTAAGATTTCTCTACGTAGTAAGATGAACACTGAAAAATTCTCTAAACTAAACATTTCCAAATTTTCAAAATACATAGGAAGGACATAAATCAAGAAGTATTTTTACATGTTTTCTTTTCAACTTGTGGTAAGTTCTTTAAACAGTGGTGTTTCTTAGATTACTCTTTTACTCTTTTTACACTTTAAAATTTTTTTTCCTACTGTATATGTGATTAGTGATCCCATCATTTCCTAAGAAAAAAAATCCTGCAAAGTTTAACAAAATAAAAAAAGATTATTTAGCTCTTTTAACTATTTATATTTACTAACTATATGTTTCAAATTGTTGAAAACTAATTTGTTTGTATGAATATATATGGTATATTCTAAAGATTATGTGAGGAGTAATGAAAATTTAAAACGAGCGTCTGACCATGTAACAAATTTGGCACTAAAATACATATGACTTTAAGTGATTCGCCTAATAAAGTAGATGTGACATTAGGAAATTACATAAAATTTGTTAGGACTTAGCACTAAATAAATTTATAGTAAATCTAAATGATAAATATTATTTTATCAAATAAAGTCTAAGTGATAATTTTTGTCTAAGTAACTGGTATATTTTATTTTATATGATTGTACTACAAAAATTTGTATGTATTTAAAATAACAAGGTATAAAAAACTCGACAAACAGTATATTTGTAAATCATTTTAAATGGAGTATTATAATTTTATTTATTCTTGACAAAAATCCTATAGCAAAATTTGTTATACATTCCTTTAACTGTATTAGAAATCGACAAAAAAAAATTAAAAAATCGAAGTAATATTTTCAAGTCTGTTACTTTTAAACTCTTCCAATATGTTCCAAAACATATTCGATCACCATCGAACTCAATTTTTGAATCACCATTCCTACTATAATAGTTTTGAGTGGGAGAGGATGATGTGAAAGTTTATGGGATAAAAAGTTAAAGTTTATGTACGTACATGCATGACTTGTCCCCTCCCAATATCGAATAAATTGTTAATCTCAAAATCATTTTCGACAATTATACCTATATGTACCAAAATGGAATAAGAAGGAGTTGAGGAAGAGTTTGATGACAGCTATCTTAACTATTCTTTCACACCAAACAACATTACAAATTTGCAATGACATGTTTCGTCTAATTTTGCACCTTTTTTTTGTTTTTTTTGTTCTTTTCATGTAAGTCTTTTATTTACGTTACTATAAACTAAAGGCACAAGTAACCCGTAAATAGGAAGATATATAACAAGAATAAGCACGAGAGCATCAAACAGCCTATTAGTATTTACATACATAAAACAAAATTAAGTAGAATATTAACGTATATTGGATGGTGCAGATTATTTCACTTACGGATATAACTATACCCTAATTTATATATTCATCATGTCCAATTTTCCAAGTTTTTTTTACTTACAACCAAAAAAATTTGAATAACATAACTTGTTGTTGTAAATATTTCCACAAAATATAATTATTTTAAAATTAATTTAAACATTTTTTATCTACAGAAAAATATGTATAATACAAATGGTTATAACATAGTAACTAAAGATAAATAAATTACACATAGAAATTAGAGAAAGTTTTATACGAAAAAAAACGAAAAGAGAAATAAAGCATCTTATATTAGGATAGAGGGAATATTATTTATGCTATGTAAATAAACAAAGTAAATATAGATAGATCAACTTACCTATCATTTTTATATAAAAAATTGATTTGCCGCAGAAAATTAAACGAATTAGCTAGCTTGCAAATGTGTTACTCCAGCTAGTTCTTTTGCAACCAGCTTTATTTTTATGTAGTGGAGAATATTAAACAACTAAATGGAACCTCAAAAACACAAAGCGAAATCAAATAGGGATAAGCCTCCATATTCTTACAAAAAATATTCAACGGCTATAGAAGGATTGAATCATATTCCATTGTACTTACTTATATTATGCAATTAACAAATTAACTTCTTCGACTAAAAGCTATATATAGTTCTTCTATATCTATCTTTTCTTTGTATATCAGTCACAAACAAATAAGTATAACATATCATTTCTTTATACATACACGTTCAGAAGATAATATGGGTTCCAATGTTTCATCTGTCCATGATGTTCATTCATCAATGGAAACCAAGAGTGCCTTGGTTCTTGAAATCGAGTCTAGAAGACAATGGAGATCTCTCTTTGATTCAATGAAAGGTTCAGACAAATTGGTATGCATTACTCAAAAACCACGTATAATGTATTCCGATTCTTTCACCAATCTAACCTCTCATCAAAGATGTTTGTAGTGAATATTATATGATTTAGATTTTTCTAGTTTTGTTTACATATACATGAAATTGTTTTGATTTTACTTAAGCTAACTGAAATTTTTTGTTTTGCTGTTCGGTTTTGAAGCTAGTAATTGATTTCACAGCAGCATGGTGTGGACCTTGTAAAACAATGGCACCTAGAGTTAAGGAGATTGCTTCAAAGTACTCAAACGTTGTGTTTGCTAGGGTTGATGTGGATAGGCTAATGGTAATTACTCTTTTCTTTTTTACTCCTTGTAGATATCATCTTATATATGGATTTATTAGAAGATAAAACCATGCATGAACGTTGAGTTTCAAGACTAAACTATTTCTTATATATTCCAGGATGTGGCTGGGACATACAAAGCTATGACACTTCCAGCTTTTGTTTTGGTGAAGAGAGGAGAAGAGATTGATAGGGTTGTTGGAGCCAAACCTGTTGAGCTTGTGAAGAAGATTGAAAAATATAATGTTTAAGGCTTTTATTTTGTTTCCTTAAAAGAAACAAAACAAGAGTTTACTTGTGAGTGTGTTTTGATTGTTTGAATTTGGGTTTTCTACCATTTGGTTTGTCGAATGTGAATAAAGTTGCTACAAAATGTTTGGTCACCCTTGAGATGTCATTTAAAGAGTTATTTCTTTTGTATTTTGACATGAATAATGGACAAATCCATCTTAGCAACAAAAAGATATCATCTCTATCTTAAGCTGCAGTCATATTTGTATGAATTTTAGTCCAACCAAGGTAAAAAAAGATAGCTAAAAACCAAAAGTTACAAGAAGATTTTAGTATACCTTGTCCAAAATAACATTATGAAACAAGAATCCTGAAAAAATAGATTACATTAAGGAGAAATTTTCCAACCAAAAACGATCAATCCTGTTTAGTATTTCGCCATAAAGAGATGATATCAAAACCCGAAAAAGGATCAATCTGTATATGTACGCTGAATTGACATTAGAATTCAAGAGCTTACTTGAAACTAGTTGTTAGTACCGGTTCCACCAAGGACTCTCTTGAGATCTGTCTTCTGTTCCAAAGTTAGCCTTGAGGGGAAACAAATCTCAAAGTTGATTATTAAATCTCCTCTCTTGGAATGTTCTTTAGAGATGGGCATTCCTTCATTAGGAATCACTATCTCCTGACCCGGTTTCACGATATCCAAAACCGGGATAGTCAGATTCCTCCCATCTAGTGTTGTTAAGCTAAGAGTGAGCCCTGTCAAAGCCTCCAAAAGTGAAACTTTCTTGTCTACAATCAGATCATTACCGTCTCTTTTGTAAACTGAATGTGGTTTCTCATCGATAACAAAGATGAGATCCGCGGGTGTAACACCGGGTTCTTGGTTTCCTTTCTCAGGGAATGTTATCTTTGTTCCTTTCTTCCATCCTGGTGTTATATCTATCTTCAAGATCTCTTCCACTGGCTTTGACTTTCTGAAATCAAAACATAATTAATAAATTGACACAATCAAGAAACCAAACTAAGCTAAGAAAAATCAAACATAGCAACTAGAAAACAAATATTAACATAACTAATGCTCAAGATCCATCACAAAAACAGAGAAATAAGAAACATATACACAAGATCATCCATTGGATACCACATGAACCAAAGAAATACGAATGAACTTATCGAAAATGGCGGTATTTCTCATCAAGATCATGAGTAAAAGAGAGAGTAAATGGAGAAATACTAACCCAAAACCATCAGGAACAACGCGGGAAATTTTCATCTTCCTTCTCCCACCTTTATACAATTCTTCAAGAGTACAAGCAAGTTTACTCTCAATCGCCGGAGCTTTCCTATTCACCGGAGTTTTCCTATTCGTCTGACCTCCCGCGTCCGCACTTCTATACCTCCCACCGCCGAAGACATTTTCAGATGCACCAAAAAACTCAGCGAAAATATCTTCAGCATCACGTGGATAATACCTGAATCCAGCGGAAGAGTAGTTTCGTTGCTGAGACGACGCCGTTTCCGCGGTAGGTACATCGGAAGACTTAAGTCCGTCTTCACCGTATTGATCATAAATCTGACGTTTGTTAGGATCACTTAAAACATCGTAAGCTTCAGAGATTTGTTTGAACTTAGCTTCAGCTTCTTTCTTGTTTGAAGTTGGGTTCTTGTCAGGGTGCCATTTCATTGCAAGTCTTCTGTACGATTTCTTTAGATCGTCTTCACTTGCACTTGGATTCACGTCGAGTACGTTGTAGTAATCAACCCCCATTTTTTATAAGAACAGTTCGAAATCTTCACGAAGGTTTAGAGAAAGTGTTGAGAATGCAGAGAAAGACAAAGTTAAAGAGATAGAATCAAAAATGATGAGGAAGCGTAAGGAAGGAGATAAAGTTAAGGTAGAAGAAGAACATGACAAGCATAATGTGATGGGAGACAAATCTTATCTTTGACAATTATTGTCGTGATTAATTGTATTTGTAGTTTATGAATATGAAAATACTAATTTGTTAGCCTTCTGAAAAATAGAATATACACTACGTGACTATCAGGATTCAGGTCGGGTACGTAATGGGTAGCACTAAAACAAATATGGTATGTGTAAAGTCAAATCCGCGGTATTGGTATAGTCACTCGTCTATCTAACGTTCAAAGTACTCCTTATTAACCACCACTAGGGAAATGTTAACCTCAAATTGAACAGTTTCTATGGTGCCCTAGCAACTGGTGAGAATTGAATCTCAAGCGGATTACTTACCCATCAATTTCTTTCTCATTCGTTTGTTCCAAATTTCCTGTCACAAGAGTTAACACTGTAAATTTGTGAATAGTATTTAATTTTATAACAACAAAACTAAAGTAAACTATTTGTAACATGAAATTCAGCGTTAAATAAAATAAATAAATAAACTAATTTTAACTTTACTATTGTCTTATAATTTATTTCAAATATTTAAGAAAGTAAAATTACATATGATCAGAATATTTCTGTATGTAATCCCGATAAATCAAATTGATTGGGATTATATTTAAATATTTTTGATTGGATTAAATATAATTATTTAATGTATTCTTATTATGTATGTAAATATTCTAATTATTTTATCCTTTTTCTTTTAAAAAAAAATAACACAATTTAGGTGAATGGATTCTTTTTCTATTTAGTGAATATTGTGAGGGGAAATAGTTAAATATCTCTCTGCTCACCTTTTTTTTAATTTAGTAAATAGAATTAATTAAATTTAATTGGATATAATTACATTTAAAAATAAAATATTCACTTTTTAAAAATCATTTATTTAGAAAAAATAAAAGTATAGAAATATATATATTTTGAGAAGATTTATTGACATATAAAAATGTTAATTTAGATTTAAGGTAAGTTATTATTTAGAAAAAAATTACAGATGTTGGAAGCTGAATATTACTATGTATCACATTGTTTGTAACTAGATAAACATATCAAAGCTGTGAATTTTAATAGTCCACTATAAATAGATGTTCTAAGGAGCCACTAATTTGCAAACTTTGTTATCAGATTTTTTCTTATCATCTCTAGTCAAAGTCTAAACTCATAAGTTTTCAAAGAATGGTCAGTTGAAATACATATATGTATATATCTAGTTTTACGCATACATAACTATGTATTTCCTCAGCTTTATCTCTCTTTTTTCAGGGAAACTATACTATCAAGTTGGGAGATACTTATCAAGATAACAGGGAGAGAGCTATAACCTGTGCTTACAGTTTCGATAGTACGTTAACTCAATCCAATGGTTATATTCAGCCAAAGTAAAGTATTTTAAAAGATATTGCAAATTTTTAAATATGTTTACAAATTTGCAATTTTTGTTTTTTTTGGTAGGAGTTGAAAAGGTAACTTTTTATCCACAAATGAACGCACTACTCGTATTTGGAGAATTAGTTAATGATACCGAAATGCAGAAGAAGATAGATGAGATTTATAACCCAAACAAACAAAAGAAGTGCCCATTGTGTTCTCATGTGCTTGATTAGTCCTAAATAAGGATATGGTGTTTATATATTAAAATCTCTTATATTTGTATAAGTATTTGGATCATAAATAATTGTATAGTGCTTAACTATGAATTCATGTTTTATAAAAGTGTTTGGATCTTGCTCTGATTATTGGTTAAACCCAAGTTCTATTGTTCGACTCGTATTTTTTTTTTTTATCGAAATGAAATCTAGTAGTCGCATTTTTATTAGTATACTACGTAGGTTTTTATTAGTATACTACGTAGGTTGTTGTAATATGTGTATCTCTCGTTGATTTCGACCATACCATTGAGATAATACACTTTTATAAAATAAGTAGAAATAAATAAACACTATATCAATAATAAAATAAACACCAGGGAAACTTCCTTTTTATTTTTGGGAAATAAATGGTATCTAGCTTCTTCTGTATTTCATCTTCATTAATCCCTTCTCCAAACACGATTAGTGCGTTCATTTGTGGATAAAATTTTACAGAAACACCTCCTAACAAAAAAAGAAAAAGAAAACACAAGTGCATAACTTAAGATTAGGGTGAAACAAGTGTAACTAGGGTAGGGTGTATTTTTATCATTAGGCTGTTAATTTAAAAATATGATTATACCAAATTAAAATACAATTTTTATAATTTCAATTTAGCTATATTTCGCTAAATCTAATTCCGTAAATTTTTGCGGAAACATAAATCATATTTTTGCCAAGACAACACGTAGATTCATAGTAAGTAAACAAACCAATAAATCCCCTTTGATGGTTTATACAAATTTATAATGTTGAAAACTTTTATTTTTCTCGAATCTTATAACCTTGTTAGTGAAGTTTAGGTGTTAGCATGCGCATGAAGTGTCCTACTAACTACAGAAGAAGATCCTAAAACTGAAAGACATATTTATCAGAACGGGTCTTAACTAAAAACCCCATAAGTAATAACTTATGGATTTGTGTATATTGGATAAATCTTTGTTAAATAATTATATATTTGTAGTACCATAAGTCAATACCTTAAGATTCATAATGGTAGTTGCTTGAGATGTGGAACTCTTGTAAGTATTACGGAAGTATTTTGCTTATAATTTGTGTTCCAATAAAACCTAAAAATGATAGATAAATTCATTTATACGAACGATATACTTAAATAAGTTCCTTTGTTTACCATATAAATCACTGTCTTTTATGAGCAATACATTAATTAAGGGTAAAAATTGTGGGATCAGTATTAGAATCACTTATCAATAGGTTACTCATCCTTCAATCAATCAATATAATATAACTGAAGAAAAAAAACGGAAATGATGATCCTGATTGTTAAACTCATTGTCAAAATTGAATCCTAATTTTTTTAATCATCCCACTAAAGTTTTTAGATTTGGAGACACATGTAACCTGATTTGCTAAAAGTTTAACGTTTGGAAACATATTCTGGCCCTTGATTTTGTTAAAACGTTTCCTTTACAGAATTAAAAGTTGTAAAAACAATTCCCTATTCATATGATAATTTTGTAAAGATAATTCATAGAAAAATAAATTTTTGTCGTTTTAAGATTTTTCTTTGATTATTGATTAAACCCAATTTATAGTGTTCTACTCGTATAATGTTGTATCGACATGAAATCTACGAGATTGCATTGTTTTATTATCACAAGATTGGCGAGGAAAAATAATAGCAGATTGTTAAAAAAAATATATATTTTATATGACTATTTTTTTTTAATCTATGAATTAAAGTATGAAGCGAGTGCAACTATGATGGATCTTTAATTAACATGAACTCACCTCTAAGAGCATGATGAATAATGTGTATGATCAAGAACAATATTTTTAATTAGTTTATTTTTTGCAAAACTATCTGAGTCCATGTAACTCTTATTTTACTTTGTTTGGTCTCTGTAGATTCGATCTGTAGAGGTTATTGTGCACTTTTAATTTATATTCTATAAGAATTTCATCATGGTTAATTACATCGAAATGCAGAAGAAGATAGATAATATCTATTTCCCAAAAATTAAAAAGAGGTTTTCCATTGTGAAATCTTAGTTGTGAAGAGGTTTGGGGAAAGTGAAAGGCTGGGAGAACCGCCATGACCAGGAATATGAGCCGAGTCCATCTCATCATAAAATTATGGATTTTGATTGCTACACCACAGTTGAGGAACTGAGAGATGTGGAGCTTGAAAAGCTAATGAAGGTAATGACCATACTTCACGTTCACATGCTTCTTGAAGCATATATTCCCCTAATTGTCTGTCCTTTGTTTGCAAGGCTTGATTGTAAGACAAAAAGTTTGTGCTTTGCAATAATTATTTTGTTTTGTAAAATTACAAAATATAATTTAATATAAAAAAATAACATCATAAGAGCCCCTAATTAAGACCCTACCAATAATCACTTCACAAAACTAAAAACCAATTTACAACTCTTATCTTTATCTTATAATTGAATAATCTTAAGATTAAATATTAAGAGCTTTGGGTTAATTTTGCTCTAAGAGATCCAATCGTTATACATTTCATCATTTTTGTTTCATTCTTTCTCTTTCTCAAAATAATAAATATATTAAATAAAATTAATAACATCAATCTTTTAGAAACGAAGAAAATCTTCTTATGCACACGATAAAAAAGAAGAAAATCTTCTACAACATCATTCTTTTAGAAACAGAGGGAATATTAAATATCTGAATAATATCGTATGCACACGATAAAATAGTTAGTTATTATTCGAATAATATTTATATTAACACGCTAAGTTATTATGCAAACTTTTTCAATATTCGATAAAATGATATTTAGCATGCTAAGTTTTTTAATATTCGATCAATTAACATTTATCTCCTATTTGCAGGTCACCATCGCATGAATTCATTTTTCACAAATTGATCAAGTGTATCATTTTTATACATAGATGAGATTCTTTTGTCTTTTATAAATATGTGAGAATTAAACCTTTATTCATTAATATTTTATTTATTTATTTATCTTTTTCTCAATAAAATAAATTTTATTAATAAAGAAATGTTGATAACATAACTACTTTAAAATTTTCTTACAGATTTTACTTTTTAATAAGTATTTAGTTTTTATTTCAATTACCCCTTATCTTCTTAGAATTAAACTCTCATATATCTATTAATTTCTTTTCTTTTCTTAAGATATGTTCTAATAATTCAACTTATATTAATATATATATATATATATATATTCTAAGCCAATAAGTTGAAAACTTTCAATCATATAGTTTTTCATCATCTCTACTGTATTTCTGAAATTTTTAATTTTTCGAAAAATGGTCAGTCAATATTGCGGGAAGCCTGTTAATATATATATAAATATAATTTTACACCTCCGAAAATCTTTACCGCTTATATAATAATTTCTTCAAATCTTTAATTTCATTTTCTTCTTACAGGAAGAATTTACAATCAAGCTTCGATCTACTGACGATATGGTCCAGATGAAAGCTCGAAATTATATAAATCATTTTAAAGGTACAATATCAAAATCTAATGGTTATTTTGAGCCCAAATATATTTTTATTTTATTTTTTATTATATATATATATATATATATATATATCACATATAGTTTTAATTGGACTTTAATAGTTTTTTATATATTATTTTGTTTTTAATTGGCCTTTAATATTATAAATAATGATTGACAAATTGTTTTTTGTCAGGAGTTGAATCTATAGTATTTAGTGACCGTGCCAACTTAGTATTCGTGAAAGGAGAAGGAGTTGATAAGGCTAAATTGATGAGGAAGGTTGACAAGATTTGCCAACCCAAAAAATCGTTCTTTTCGTGTTTTAGTCCCAAATAGTATATGGTTTTATTTATGTCTTCATATTTGTAAGAGTATTTGGATTTTAACTAATAATTATATGCATGCATATTTTCTTGAAGTGTTTGGATTTTTAGTAGCGCGGGTATATTCATATTGATTATTTTCAAGTAGGTATATAGTACCATACAATTTGCCAAAATACTATAATGTTTAATTTTTGATTATTTCAAGACAAATATTCTTTCATTTATATTTAAATATCATTCATTTTCTTAGAATATATATTTTTCAGCTTACAAATATATTTTTGATTAAAATAACTAAAAATCATATACAGATAATGGAAAGAAAATCAGTTACTTGAATTGCTCGTTGTGGACGTCTCTAATTTTTTATATGTCTATGTTAGTTCGATCCATAATTGTCTTATCACTCCTATTTTCTTTTATCCAAATTCCAATAATGTCTCCTTTAACTTCTCATTGTCTCTTTCTTTTTATCTTATATAACCTTCAACCTTTTTCTCCACCTCTTCTTTATACTTCTTCATCTTGACTACACATTTCTTCAACATAATTTTTTTGCTTCTCCCCAAGTTTTTCAGATATGGATTAGAATCAGTTGAATCACTTTCTCTGATCTCTTTAACCAAACCTCGATATGTTTCATTTTTCATTGAAATCTTATCTTAAAGCAATGCTTGACATTCCTCTAGATGCTTAGCAATCATATTCAATCTTAAAAAAATAGATGATATATTTTCATTTATTACTATAATATATCAAAAAATTATTCTAAAATATATATTATACTCTACTGTTAAATAAAATTCAACCAGTAATATAGACACTTGGTACGATCTAGTAAGGGCTAGTTAAAAATCCATACTATAATAATTGAAAAACGAAGAAGGTATGCTCGATAACACAAAAATTAATTATCACTACTCACCCTGTACGAAGTTACACAACTGGCCCCGAACAAAATAAACAATAAATTTTTGAAAAATTAAATAGCATATAACGTATCCTATAAAATCTTGTAGTGTCAGTTTTGTTTTAAATGACACTTCATTTACTGTGATAACTTTTATATTATGTACCAAGATATTTAAAATATATGAATAGTATTTGTATGCACATAGTAAGATAGTTATTATACGGATACTATTTTTATTAACATTCTAAGTTAGTATGCTAAGTTATTTAATATTCGATAGATTATAAATTTAGCATGTTAATTTATTCAATATCTGATAAATTGAATTTTAGCTTGCTAAATTATTCAATATTCGATCAATTAACGATTTTCTCATATCCACATGTCTCCCAATGAAGTAGCCAAAGTTTTATTTCTGACCAGGATAACATATTAAAAATCTAAATAATATCGTATGTACATGGTAAGATAGTTGTTAACAAACAATATTTATATTAGCAGGATAAGTTCATATGCTAACTTATTCAATATTCGATAAATTGAATCTTGCTCTATAATCTCGAGCTGATCTTGTCACAATCTTCAAGCAACTACAGAACCACAACGGAAAAAGATCAAGACACCATAAGACTCTAACCTCCATGACACCTCAATCAACACCTTTCCACATCCAACGCTACCGGAAAAGAGATCATAGCTACTTCAAACCTCCGTCGAAATACTTGATTTCACCTATGAAGATCATACAGAAGATAAGTGTAACAACCCAGCCCGGTGGGAACCCCTACCACATGGCACACCCCGCCACATGGCAGCTACAAGCGATGCAGCGCATCGACCCTAACCTCTTTCCTATGGGCCCAAACTGCGCAGCCCACTTGCTCGCAGCCCACTGGCCCACCAGGTAGGTTATTGGTGTGCCTGGCGTTCCTCGAACCCAGGTCCTCACCTTTTAACAACCTTTCCACCGTGGAAGTGTGCCACATGGCGGATGTTCCCACTGGACGGGTTGTTACAATAAGAGGGGAAGACCATGGCTCCATTTTGCAATATTCAGACCGAAGATAAGAGCGAGAAAAGAGAAAGCGAAAAATATATATTATATTATACTGTTAAATAAAATTCAACCAGTAATATTGACACTTGGTATGATCTAGTAAATTTACTAAAAGTTGAAGAACATACTGTATATAACTTTTTAACTGTTAAAAATATATAATTTGTAATTGTTTAAACAGAAAAACAAACAAAATTAGAAAATTTATTAAAAATTTTGAGTTGAGTTTCAAACTTAAAATATTGTTATACTTATCTTTTCGGCTCCAACGACGAACTCATCATCCAATGTCTAACAGTGTTCTGCTCCACCCATTATCTCCTCATGTACCACCGGCAAGTTCTCCCTCAGCCTCCGTCTCCGGTAACCATCACCAACGTATTCTCTCCTTATCAGAAAAATGTTCAGATATGTCTCAGCTCAAGCAACTCCACGCCTTCACTCTCCGCACTACATACCCTGATGAACCCGCAACTCTGTTTCTCTACGGCAGAATCCTCCAGCTCTCATCCTCCTTCTCCGAAGTTAACTACGCTTTTCGGGTTTTCGATTCGATCCAAAACCGTAGCTCTTTCATGTGGAACACTCTCATTAGAGCATGTGCTCATGATGTTTCAAGGAAAGAAGAAGCCTTTTTGCTTTACGGGAAAATGTTAGAGAGAGGTGAATCCGTACCGGATAAGCATACGTTTCCGTTTGTATTGAAAGCTTGCGCTTATATATTCGGGTTATCGGAAGGGAAACAAGTTCATTGTCAGGTTTTGAAACATGGGTTTAGTGGAGATGTGTATGTTAACAATGGTTTGATTCATTTGTATGGTTCTTGTGGATGTTTGGATTTAGCACGGAAAGTGTTTGATGAAATGCCTGAGAGAAGTCTTGTTTCATGGAATTCGATGATTGATGCTTTGGTTCGGGTTGGGGAGTTTGATTCTGCTTTACAATTGTTTAGAAAAATGCAGAAATCGTTTGAACCAGATGGTTATACGATGCAGAGTATTTTGAGCGCATGTGCTGGTCTTGGATCGTTGTCGTTAGGTACTTGGGCGCATGCGTTTCTGTTGCGAAAATGTGATGTTGATGTTGCTATGGATGTTTTGATCAAGAACTCGTTGATCGAAATGTATTACAAATGCGGGTCTTTGAAAATGGCTGAGCAAGTGTTTCAAGGGATGCAAAAACGTGATTTAGCTTCATGGAATGCAATGATTCTGGGGTTTGCTATACACGGAAGAGCTGAAGAAGCTATGGATTGCTTTGACCGTATGGTTAAGAAAGGAGAGAATATTAAACCCAACTCAGTCACTTTTGTTGCCCTGCTCATCGCTTGTAACCACAGAGGCATGGTAAACGAAGGACGACAGTATTTTGACATGATGATCAGAGATTATGGCATTGAGCCAGTGTTGGAGCATTACGGTTGCATCATTGACCTTGTTGCCCGTGCAGGCTATATCAGCGAAGCTATCGACATGGTGATGAGCATGCCGATGAAACCAGATGCAGTGATCTGGAGAAGTCTCCTCGATGCTTGTTGCAAAAAAGGTGCTAGTGTCGAGCTAAGTGAAGAAATTGCTAGACATATCATTGAAACAAGGGAAGATAGCCAAAGTTCCAACAGTAGCTACAGTGGCGCATATGTTTTGTTGTCAAGAGTTTATGCTTCAGCTAGCCGGTGGAACGATGTTGGAATTGTCAGAAAACTAATGACTGAACATGGAATTAGAAAAGAGCCTGGATGCAGTTCTATTGAGATAAATGGCATCTCCCATGAGTTTTTTGCAGGAGACACGTCGCACCCTCAGACGAAACAGATATACCAACAGTTAGAAGTGATTGATGACAGACTCAGATCGATTGGTTATTTACCGGATTGCTCTCAAGCACCTTTAGTCGATGCAACAAATGATGGTAGCAAAGAGTACTCCCTCAAGCTGCACAGTGAGAGACTTGCCATTGCTTTTGGACTGATAAGCTTACCACCTCAGACTCCAATCCGTATATTCAAGAATCTACGCGTATGCAGCGATTGCCACGAAGTTACTAAACTGATCTCAAAAGTCTTCAACACTGAGATCATTGTGAGAGATCGTGTTCGTTTCCATCACTTCAAAGACGGATCCTGCTCTTGTTCAGACTACTGGTAGCAAGAACTAGTCGAAATGATTGAAAGATATTGATTATTGAGCATGAGAGATGGAAAATGGCACTCGGATATATATATATATATATATATATATATATATATATATATATAAAAGAGGCTAAACAGTCAAGTAAGTGAATATCATTGATCACTGCAATGAATTTTCTATATATCATAAGTTTGGTAATCAAGCAGTATCTCCAAGTCAATCCAATCTTATCTGAACTAACAACAAACAATTTGCAGACGCCATAGCCTTCACTTCACAGCTCAGCTTCAAACTATGAAAGGAGAAAGAGATCTCTACTTGATGAACTCTTCTGCTACTGTTACATCAAAGGAAACAAAGAACACCTTCAAACATCAGTGACAAAAGCAACCATTTGAACTGGAATTGGGCTAAAAAGAAACTCACTTTTTGATGATTTTGGCACTAAGACGACAGTCATGTCTGCATTATTGGGCGGGAGCTGAAGACGCAACGGGAAAAGCTTCCCGTTCAACGGACTACGAGTACAAACAACAACATCTTCAACATTGCTCTCTTCTTTCAACCTCGTAGTCAGCTCTTCAACACCATTACCTTTGAAAGTAAACGACATCACCTCAACTGAATCATCTTCAACTTCACCATTATCATCCGCTACATGATAATATATCACTCTCCCTTCCGACTTCGGCGGCGATCCAATCGTCACTGAATCCGTTGACTGCCACACACACAAACACACACACAAAAAAACATAAGTCAACGTTTTTCTAATCCAATAAAGTCAATCTGGATCCAAAAAGTTACCTCTTGTCTAAAGAAACGATTAGATCTAGAAGGAGATCCCGGCGCGAAATCGAGTGAATCGGAATGATGAAGAGGAGACGGAGGCTGCTGGTGGTGGTGATCGGAAGTCTCAGTAAGGATCTCAACGACATCAACATGCCAAAGAATCCATTCTTGAGTAGCTGATCTATGAGGAATATCATGAGTAACAGAGTTTCTCCACGGAGGCAAACCACCATTACCACGAAGGAAGTGACCATAACGAGTCTTGAGCTTAACCAAAGCAGAGTCTCTGATCGGTTCCCAAGCTAAAGACGAGTCAAGACGGCTAGGATTAGTCTGCAAGACTTTTCTTCCTGTGGCTCCGAGAAGAAAAGGTTTGTTAGATGCGGTTAAGTATTTGCCGTAAGCGCTTTTGAGACGGATAAGATTGGTTGAGCCAGGGACTATCTCAACGGTCCATTTAGCTGCTCCTGCTGAGCCGTTACGTTCTTGAGTTACGGTTTCTTCGTCTTCGTCGGCGATTAGGTATTTGTCGTGGTGGCTCCGTAGACGAACTGCTTTGGCCTTTTGAAAAAACTCCATTGATAGAGAGAAGAAAGGAGATGTTGAAGATGATTGGTGTGAATATAGTTTTAGCTGGGTCTTTGGGACCTTGTCTTTTTACAGAAAAAGGTGTTTTATTATTTTTAAGTATTTATTATTGTGTATTTATTATTTTAATTATTGTGTAGTTATTGGTCAATTTCACTCTCTTTTTGTTAGTTATTGAGATTATCTTTTAATAATTGTTAGCTTTTTTTTTTGTTAATAAAATATATTTGTGGGATCTAGATCTCTGACAGGGAAAAATTTAATATTTGTTTTGTCTTATTAGGAGTAGATGCAGTGAAGTAATTAAAAAAAAAAATACAGAGATATTAGCACTGTAATAAAGAAATTAGCACTTTAAGCAAAATTAGCACAATGAAGATTACACTTTGGCCTGATAATCTTGGGTTGACCTCGACAATATCTATAATTATAAACATACAAACTTGGATTAAGCCCATAAATTTTGCTTAAAGTGCTAAACCCATAAATTTTGCTTATAGTGATAATCTTGGGACAATATCTATAAACATACAAACTTAAACTTGTTATTTTTTTTTTCACATGTACGTACTTTGGCACATTGCAATACATGTCTAAGATGATATCTAAGATCTTGAAGCTGCGGACTGAGCTCTAACCTCAAGCTCACGTAGAAACTCAGCTACTTTATTGATCTCGGGCACCACATTCTTCACCGTATCATCAGACAAGAACTTGCCTGCCCATTTACAAAGAGAAGGAGTTCTTGATTCGTCTAAAAGCTTTTCTCCTTTAAGCTCTTCCCTAGCTTTCAAGAGAACCAAAAAGCTTCCTAAGCAAATGTCCATGAACCCGATTGCTTCACCGCCAAAAAATGGTTTCCCTTTGCTAATAGAAACAAAGGCATCCTCGAGTTGCAACAACCCTTCTTCCACTTCTTCCATGGCTTTTGCTTTTGCATCTTCTGATTTGGTTATTGCCGCCAATTTCAAAGCCGGAAACCACTGCACTCGCAAAAAGAGGAGTTTAAAAATAATAAATAAGCTACAAATTGTTTATTTGCGTTTGCTTTGTGTCCCTATCTAATAATATCCTAGCATAGAACACATAAACGAGGCCGCAAAGAAACAATATTGTCACCTTCGAGAGTTTCAATCCACTTATTACGTAATAAACCATTACCCCTTGTAAATCTCCTTACAATTCAGATTTAAGGCGTTAAGACAAGTTCAGTTTCGAACATCGACCAATTAAAAACTGTCTTTTAGTGTTGAAAATAAACAGTCCACAACCCTACTATACGTCAAGACAAGGTATTTGGTTCCAAACTTTTGGTCATATAATTAAAAACCACTTACATAGGACGGTCTCTGTATCCCCTATAAGACCGATCAAACCATGCATGAGAGAGAGATTCATTGGAGTTGTAACATGTACACTAACACTAACTTTTTTTAATTCTTTTGAAAATAACTAAGAGAAATTAAGCCTTTTAAGTCCGAATATCCTAAGACTATGAGTCTCGAGACCAGAACATGTTAAATGGTATTTTTTCAAGAGCCACCTGAATCGACAGACCATCTAGGCTTTTGCTTGTTATTACCAAAGGAAAACTCCAAAAAGAAAAAGAATATAAGAAACGAGACCTTGTTATCAACGAAGGAAGACCAGAAGCGAGAAAGAGCACGATCATGAGGATGAGAAGGAAGAATGGAAGGTCCAGACGAGTTCCACGTCTCATCGATGTACTCAACGATGTTAAGAGACTCACAAACCGGTGTGTTGTTGTGGATCAGCACCGGGACTTTCTTGTAAACCGGGTTCGATTTGAGAAGAAGTTCACTCTTGGATCCGAACAAATCTTCTTCAACGTAATCATACTCGACCGATTTGAGATGAAGAGCGATCTTTGGTCTTATGGCGTATGGACTATACCATACTCCCAATAGTTTCACTTCCATTATTTCTCCCATTTCTTTCGTTTTTTTGTGTATAGACGTTTTCTTGATTTGGTTTCTAATTATTGTAGAAGAAGAAGAGGATGATGAAGAAGAGTCCTCCACGGCTCCTCTATTATTTTTAGTCTTTTGTCTGCATGCTTCGAAACGTAACGGACATATCTTGCGTTGCTTGCCAGCACAATAATGCAAATGTCGAAACGATGTTATTATATTGGCTTGAAGTGCTTTTTTCCAATTATTCTCTCTAGATGTGGACCACTTTTTAGTAAGTTACATAGGTACATTTTTTGTAAAGCTATAGAGGCTAGTTATATTTTCTTTAGTTAAACTCTAAATAACTTTTCACTCCAAATAATAAAATAAAATTATGATTTAGTTAAAATCTTCATTAGAAACACAAAACTATACTTTTTTGTCAAATAAACTTAAAATCTTCAAAGAGACATTTTTCTGTATAACTAAAGAAATCTCAATATTTCTCAACAACTTTGTTTTTGTCTATTCAATTGATACTCCCTTTTTTTGATAAAAAGAGTGTCATTTCAGAGTTTTATTCAGGGGCGGACCCACAGCCATAGTGGTGGGGGCAGCTGCCACCAGCAAAAAAAAAAAAAAAAATTATTAAAAATTTATTAAAAAATTATTAAATATTATTAGAAAACAAAATCTGTCCCCACAAAAAAAACTACTTTTCGTTCTTTTTCTTGGAAAGCCCATTAATTCATGTACAAAAAAAAATTTAATATATAAATTGAAGACTTACTAATCTAGACCTAATTTTTTGTTATTTTCTTTTTCTTTAGTCATTTGGTTTCTTTGTGTGACAACAAATCAACAACTATCAATTTGTGAGTTTATTTTCCTGCTTTTTTTACAATCGTTTCTATTATATAAGCATTATTTTTTAGTCAGTTAATTTTATTTAATCAGTTCAAGCTTATAACTATGTTTCCTGGAAAACATTATATAGGTTTTTATGTTATACATGACTATATTAGTTTTTGCAGTGACAATTGTTTATATGTTTATTATATGGTTAAGATTTTATGGAAGTTTGTTACATAATTCAAAAATATAAAATTAATAAATTTTAAAATATAAGTCTATAAATTCAAAATTTTCTAAATTTTTAATTAAGAACATGTTTTTTTTTAAATTATTTGAAGCTGTCACAAATGAAAATGTGGTAAAAAGGTTTCAATTGTTAAATGAGCGTCGAGTGGTTTTGTAACATGTTTTAAAGTTTTTACATGATAATTTTATGTTCTTTTATAATTTAGTATTTGATAGTTTTTTTACTATATTTTTGCCCCCATTGAAAAAAATTTCTAGATCCGCCCCTGGTTTTATTGTTGATTCGTAAGAGTATCATTTCAGTTTTAGAGTCATTCAACGTTTTCTTAATCCGTACTAATGACTTTTTCGTTAATTTATGAATTCCCCAATCTTTTTTTTTCCTCTTCCGATGATACATCAATTTTACTTATAGTACATTTCCTTTTAAGCTCTTAATTATATTTATTTTTACTTTTTAGTGTCCGATAATGATGGCTTTGAAAATTAAATTCGCTAGAGATCTTCTAGTTTAATTTCTATATTTTATAGGACATGGTTCACTATATAATTAGGGGAATAAAAATTAAAAAGGCAAAAGAAAAAAGATGAGGGTTTAAAGAAAGTGGAATTGGTTTGATAACAAAAGTAGGGTTTAAAGATTGTGAAACAACAATAGAGCGATCGGCCATGGAAAGGAAGACAGTAAACATTCAAAGAAGAAGAAAATCTTCATCGACAAAGTCCTCATCACGTGATAAAGATACATCTCAATCACAACATATTCCTCTGGACTTAACCATTGAGATACTCTCTAAACTTCCTGCGAGATCTATTGGGAGATTTCGCTCCGTCTCTAAGCTTTGGTCGACCATCACCACAAGTCAAGATTTCATCAACTCCTTCACTACTCGGTCCTTGGCATCGCCGCCTTCTGTATTGCTATGCGTCTGTGAAGGCTGTGAAGGCTCTAAGCTGTTCGTTTTCTCCTCTACCCTGAACAAGAATAGTTCTGGTTGTCCTCTTTCTTGTGTGGGAAGTTATCAATTTACAAACCCTGATTTGGGTAGCCTCCATCGTTATTATCCCCTGCACGGCTTGATTTGATTTTATTGGAAGGTTCTAAAAATCGTGTGATTTGGAACCCTACCATGAAACAGTTCTTCACGTTACCTGAACCTCAAGGCACAAAAGAAGGGCAATGCCACCCACGATGTATTTTTGGATTTGATCCGATTCATAGGGAATACATAGTACTACGTGTTCTTTTTGACTCCAATATTTGCATTCATACAATGGGAGCTCAAGGACAAGGGTCATGTAGAATAATAACCAAAGGTCTCCCTAAGCATTGGCCTATACTAAGTTCTGGGAGATGTATTAATGGAGTCATGTACTATTCAGCCATTTTTTCTGTTGGTACTGGTACTGAACACCGTATAGTAAGATGTGACATCAGATCTGAAAAGGTCGATTCGATAAAACTTCCGGAGACTCATACTTATTTTGTTTCTGATATGATACCTTATGAAGGAAGATTTGCCATAGTTAAGACTACGGATTTCCCTTCTATTGATCTATGGATTTTGAAGGATGGAAATATATTCGAATGGACGCATAAACGATTTGTTTTGCCTCCTTTTAAAATGGACCCAATGCAGAAGAAAACGCTACGCTTCAGTGGTGTCACTAATGCTGGTGAGCTTATTTTTGCACCATGGCTGTTTTCTGGATCGTTTTCTATTATATGTTTTCATCCTAAGAGGAACAGTATTAGACAAGTCTTGTTTGAAGGACTTGTGGGTGATGATATTAGACGCCGCTGTGGATTTGATAAAGAACGTTTTTACAACTTGAAGGTTTGGCCAAATCACATTGAGAGTCTCGTGTCTTTTTAAAGTCTCCATCGGTCAATGCTTATCAATGTTTTCATTTTTCAATTACATTTTGTTACTATGATTCTCTTTATGTCTTTGATTCAATTTTTATTTCTATTTGATCACTCCATGATTGATGAGCCTTTGCATACTATTCTTCAGTTCAGTCAATGTTTTCTTTGTTTTCCCTTTATGACCCTTAATGTCTCTTTATGTCTTTTGATTTTTATTGTCATCTTTATTTTAGATGATTTGGTCTGACTCTGTGTATACTATTGCATATTTTATATAATTTAACATTCTAAGATCCTTTTATTGACTCCATTTTTGTTTCTAGGTTATATACTGAATATGGTATAAAACTACATATACAGTTTGAAACTATAAATTATAATATTAATTCACTTTTCTTGTGCTTTACGCACATAAGAAAAAAAGAAAAAAAAAAAACCTTTTACTGCGACGGAGAACAGTTTCACTGTGCAGAGGGAATTTTGGCGTCAAGCTGCGGAATCCGAAGTACTTCTTTTATCTTCTTAACATATCGTTTGTTTAGAGAAGTTTAATTTATCTATGTAATTGTGATTTGTTCCTTTGTTTCACAATATTTCACAATATCATCTTAGCTAGGGTTGTTTATTTATGGACTGATGATGAATTACTTTACTTTGCTGATTTATGGGTCTTCATATACAAGAATTTGATATGGAGAATATAACTATATATATACTATACGAGTAATTCTGTAAAATACCAACATTTTTGTTTTTAGGACAAAAATACCATAAAACTAAAATTAAATTTTAATTTTTCAAACTCTAAATTCCAAAATTCTAAACATCAAACCCTACCCCTAAATACTATACCCTAAATTGCAAAATAATCAACCCAAACCAAAGATTTAAAATTCCATACAATTAAACAATAATTTGATATTAGTGGTAATTTTGGAAAGAAAACCAAAATGATGGTATTTTGAAGAATTCCTCTATACTAAATTACTAATAATGACTGTTCAACTATTGTTACTAAAATAGGAGAAAGAAAGAAATAAATAAATATATATATATATATATATATTAAATTTTAATATAAACAGTGTATTTTCCAAAATTAGGATAATATATATTATCCTCTATATATTAAGGATCAAATCAGTATTTTTCCAATGTAAAAGCTCTAACAAATTAGGGTTTAAAGAAAGTGAAATAATTGAACAATCGGCCATGAAAGAGAAGACGGGAAAGATCAAGAGAAGAACACAATCTTCATCGACAATGTCCTCATCACGTGATAAAGACACATCTCAATCACAATATATTCCTCTGGAGTTAACCATTGAGATACTCTTGAGACTTCCTGCGAGATCGATGGTAAGATTTCGCTCTGTCTCTAAGCTTTGGTCGGCCACCACCACAAGTCAAGAGTTCCTCAACTCCTTCTCGACACGGTCCTTGTCATTGCAACCTTCAGTTCTACTAACCGTCAGAAAAAAGGACACGCTGTTCGTTTTCTCGTCTCCGTTAAACAAGACTAGTCCTTTTTCTTGTCTGGGAAGTTATCGGTTTAGAGACCTCAGAATTAGTTGCCACCAACATTACATGCACGGCTTGATTTTCTTGGAAGGTTCTAAACAGCTCGCGATTTGGAACCCTACCATGAAACGATCCATCACTATACCTAAACCTAAAGCCTCTGCTGAAGGCAGATACTACAAAGAATGCATTTTTGGATATGATTTGATTGAAGGTAACTACATAGTACTACGTATATGTGAGTTTAGAGACTACTCCAAGATTTTCATTTTTACATTGGGAGCTCAAGGACAATTATTACGTAAAATAATAAAGAACGGTGTCCCTCAGCATCGACGTACTAACCATTGTGGTAAGTGCATTAATGGAGTCATGTACTATGAAGCCCTTGTTCATCTTGGTGTTGGTAATGTTGAACGCCGTATAATGAGCTTTGACATCAGATCTAAAAAGGTCAATTCCATAAAATATCCAAACACTTGCGTATGTGATCATTTGGTACTTTATGAAGGAAGGCTTACCATAGTTACATTTAAGTATTTACCTACCCCTTCTATTGATCTATGGATTTTGAAGAATGAGGATAGACATGAGTGGACGCATAAAGGATTTGTTTTGCCTCTTGCTGATATGGACCCAATACAACGCCAAGATCTACGTTTCTGTGGTGTTAGTGATGCTGGTGAGTTTATTTTTGCACCATGGAGGTTGTCTGAATCGTTTTATATTGTATATTTCGATCTGAGGATAAACGGTATTAGAGAAGTCTTGTGTGAAGGAAGTCTCGGTAAAGAATTTGGATGCGGCAATGGACTTGGACTTGGACTTGGTAAGGAATATATGTACACCCTGATGAGGGTTTACCCAAATCACATCGAGAGTCTCGTGGCTTTGTGACTTAACGCCTTGTTCGGTCAATGTTTTTTTTGTTTTCCCTTTCAATGACCTTTAAGATATATATATCATAATTCTCTTTATGTCTTTTGATTTTTATTGTGGTATGATCAAAGTTATTATTATATTATTATATTATGTTTCAAAAGACAGAAGTTATATCTCCCAGTTGGAGATTTTCAAAGTGGCGATAGAATTAAACTGCATGCTATTGAAGATGTGGAGCCGCCGAATGAGAGACTCAAGGCTTGGCAGAGCTTCGAGCCTTTAGGCAGGTTTTTGAGATTTGTCTAGATGTTGAACGTAAAGCCATAGTTAGAAGAGCCATGGATATATGAGCATGAAGGATACTTGACTCTCGTTTATATGTTTTGTGGAGAATAACCCCACAGAGTTGTGAAACCCAAGCGAGCTTAAGCTAGGCTGTGCACCGTTTAGCTGGTTTTTACAAGTGTGTATTGTTTTAATACAATAACTTTATCTAACAGCATGTGCAAGTTTCGACATGAAGATATCCATATCTGATATTGAGAAAACATAAATTTATGGAACTTGAACAAACACTGCTTGATCTCCTTTCTTTAAATTTTCTCGGCTTAATCTTGATGCCAAATACTACTCACCTTGCCCAGATCCAAATTACAAGAAAACATCAACGTGTCTGTTTATTCAAAGGAAGTAAGGAACACAAAGCACCATACTGAAACAGCCGTGATAGAAGTCATATACGCCCGTCTTAATCCATGAAAAAGGCCCTTGGCAAATCCAAAAAAAAATATAAAATTTCTTAATAATTTTTCTTTTTTGAAAATACTTGGTCCAAAAATCTTAAATTTTCAAAAATTATAAATGGACCCATGGCATTTGCCTACCTTGTAATCAATCAAATTTATTGTAATCTAACATATTCTAACCACAAACAACACTAGATAAGTCATTTCATGGTTAAGACAGGGCTTATCATAAGAAGAAATGCCAAAAAAAACAAGGAAATGACATATATAAGCTGGAGAAACCGGCATAACACATACTGGAAGGAGGAAAAGGAGAGAATTCATGAAAAATAACAGTTAAAAGAAGAATAGAAGATTTCTCACTTCAAGTAGTAACACCTTTATATCTTACCTAATAGTAAGATTTTTGAGGTGTATAAGTTGACGAAATATCCGAAGCCTACTCGACCAATTTAAGATGAAGAGCGATCTTTGGTGTGATGGCGTAAATATGGACTGTACCATAATCCCAATAGTTTCACTTCCCCTCCCTCTCCCATTTCCTTTTTATTTTTTTGTATAGACGTTTTCTTTTCTTTTTTTTTTGGTTTCTACTAATTAATGTAGGTGAAGAAGAATCCTCCACGGCTCCTTTATTGTTTTTCTTCTTTTGTCTGCTTCGTAACGTAACGGACATATCTTGCGTTACTTGCCAGCTTAATATTGCAAATGTTGAAACAATGCTTTATATTGGCTTAAGTGATTTTTTCAATTATTCTCCTATTTTATAGGATATGGTTCACTATATAATTAACTAGGGGGAAAAGAAATAAAAAGATGAGGGTTTAAAGAAAGTGGAATTAGGGTTTAAAGAAGTGAATAATAATAGAGCGATCGCCGATCGGCTATGGAAGAGAAGACGGGAAACATTCAAAGAACAAGAAAATCTTCATCGTCAATGTCCTCACATGATGATGACACATCCCAATCACAACACATTCCTCTGGATTTAACCATTGAGATATTCTCAAAACTTCCTGCGAGATCGATAGGGAGATTTCGCTCCGTCTCTAACCTTTGGTCGACCATCACCACAAGTCAATATTTCATCAACTCCTTCACGATGCGGTCCTTGGCAGCCCGGCCTTCTGTATTGATATTCGTCTATCAAGGCGATAAGCTGTTCGTTTTCTCCTCTACACTGAACAAGAATAGTTCTGGTTGTCCTCTTTCTTGTGTGGGAAGTTATCAATTTCCAAACCCTGATTTGGGTAGCCTGGAACGTTATCATTCCTTGCACGGCTTGATTTTCTTGGTAGGTTCTAAAAAGCTTGTGATTTGGAACCCTACAATGAAAGAGTTCTTCACGTTACCTGAACCTCAAGGCAGAAAAGAAGGGGAATGCCACCCAGGATGTATTTTGGGATATGATCCGATTTATAGGGAATACATAGTACTACGTGTTCTTTTTGACTCCAAGATTTACTCCAAGATTTGCATTCGTACAATGGGAGCTCTTGGACAAGTGTTATGTAGAATAATAACCAAAGGTGTCCCTAAGCATCGGCCTACACTTAGTTATGGGGGATGTACTAATGGAGTCATGTACTATTCAGCCATTTTTTCTGTTGGTACTAGTCTTGAACTCCGTATAGTAAGATTTGACATCAGATCTGAAAAGTTCAATTCAATAAAATTTCCGATGACTCATTCTAGTTTGAATTGTCGTAATTGTCGTATGGTACTACTTTATGAAGGAAGGATTGCCATAGTTAAGACTCTGGATTTACCTACCCCTTCTATTGATTTATGGATTTTGAAGAATGGAGATAGACATGAATGGACGTATAAACGTTTTGTTTTGCCTCTTGCTGATGATATGGTCCCAAAACCTCGCGAAGAGCTACGCTTCTGTGGTGTTAGTGATGCTGGTGAGCTTATATTTGCACCATGGAGGTTGTCTGAATCATTTTATATTCTATATTTCGATCCGAGGATAAACAGTATTAGAAAAGTGTTGTGTGAAAGAACTCTCGGTGAAGAACTTAGATGCGGCAATGGACTTAAACTTGATAAGGGCTGTAGGTACACCATGATGAGTATTTACCCAAATCATATCGAGAGTCTCGTGTCTTTTGTGAGGTAGCGCCTTCTTCAGTTCAGTCAATGTTTTCTTTGTTTTCCCTTTCAATGACCCTTAAGATATATATACATGATTCTCTTTTATGTCTTTGCTATTTATTGTGGTATGATCAAAGTTATTACTTTCATATTCGCGGCTGCGGTTTAATATTCGTGGCTATAAGGCGATTTAGCCAAAAAAACCCACGAATTATTTAAGCTACGACGCTATAACCACGAATATTAAGGCGCAGCCGCGAAAATTCAAGTGGCTATAGGGATTATTTTTACTAGTGTATATATGTTTCAATAGACCGAAGTTATCTCCCAGTTGGAAATTGTCAAAGTGGCGATAGAAACTGCTATCAAAGATGAGGAGCCGCCAAATGAGAGACTCAAGGCTAAATGTGCACATGTCTAGATAACGTTTTTGGCAGAGCTTCGAGCCTTTAGGCAGGTTTTTAAGATTGGTGTAGATTTTGAACCTAAAGCCATAGTCAGAAGAGTCATTGAACATGAAGGAAATTTTGACTCTAGTTGATAAGTTTTGTGGTGGTCAATCTACCAAAAAGCGGAAAAGAAACACACAGTTGTGAAAACCGAGCAAACTTAGGCTAGGCTGGGCGCCGTTTAGCTGGTTTTTACAAGTATGTACTGTTTTTCCTAATACAATAACTTTCTCTAACAGCATGTACAAGTTTCTACATGAAGATATCCATATCTCAAATTGAGAACAGATAAATTAATGGAACTTGAACAAACTCTGCTTGATCTAAATTTCTCGGCTTTTATCTTGATGCCAGATACTACTTACTTTGCCCAGATCCAAAATAACAAAAAAACAACAACGTCTGTTTATTCAAAGGAACACAAAACACTACACTGAAACAGCCGTGATAGAAGCCGAATACATGGTAAGAAGAAAAACAAACAACAAGGCAATGAAAAATAACAGTTAAAGACGAATTAGAATATTTCTCACTACAAGTAGAAACACATTTATATCTTTAAATAATAGTAAGATTTTCGAGGTGTATCAGTTGACGAAGAGACAAAGATAGAGTTTCCAAAGTGCAGTCGTCGCCGTTAAATATGATTGAGAGACCCCTTAGCCTTGTCATACCGTGAAGATCTGTCACTTTGCTATGCTTTGTTGAGAAATTACCAAGTCTTTCCAAGTTGATTAGGTTACCTAATTCCAACTTTACCTCACCTTCTATTTTACTTGGTAAAGCGAGGTATATCAATTGTCGTAGCTCCTTAAAAATAGTGGACATGTAGACTGTTGAAGATACATCTAGATTCAAGTAGACCAGTGACTTGAGATTTTGAATAGAAGACGGAAGATGACTTACGCGAGCTTTGTATAAACTCAAGTATCTCAAGTGAATGAGGTCTCCAATAGTGGATGGTAACTTCTCCCCCTTAATCTCGGCTCTAGAAAGATCTAACACCCTCATCAACTGTATCCTTTTTAAGCATAGACCTAATTTTATCCAATCTAACGTTGAGCTCTGCTTGATAAACATGAAAGATCTAAGTTTTGGATTGTTGACATACCTATCCATATCTAATGTGGGATTAGATGAATGTATGACTAGTCTGCGAGATTTACAAGGAGATTGAGAGAATGCAACTGAGGTACATGTATCAATCTGTACGAAATTCTCTTCTTCAGCTTTTATTAGACAAACTTCTCTCATCATGTCATGCAACTGACAAGTTTCAAATCTTGAAGTACTAATGTCTCTTTGAGAAATAACCATGTTTCTCTTGACCAATTCTCCAATGAATCCATCTGCAACCTCTCGAATGGTTGCTCCATCGTAATACCTCGGTTTTGGTATTCCTTCTGCAGCCCAATAATAGGACAACTGTCCAACATCTATTGGAAAATCTTCTGGAAAATGGGCAAGGTAGAGGAAGCACTGCTTCAACGAAATAGGCAGCTCTTCAAAACTCAGATGCAAAATATGATAAACCGAACTGATATTTCTATCGTTGAAGCTAGTCCTTCCAACGATATGAGATTTAATATTCTCATATACCCTTTTCCACTCACGCAATGTGTACTGCACAGACAACAACCCGCCTAACACTTTCACAGCCAACGGTAGACCTCCACAATGTTTGATCATCTGCTTACCCATCTTTTCCATTTCTCCATCAACATTATATTCTACACATAGTGTCACCAATAAATGCAGAATATACATGAATGTTAAAGCTTATATATTATCAAGTAAAAGCAGACTGTGGCCATCCTAAGTAAAAATTCATAGATTTTGACAAAATGGAAACCAAAAATAAATTAAAGCTTACCGGTAGAGTTTTCTCTAGGAAACACCATCCTCCGAAAAATTGTCCAACATTCTTGGAGAGTTAGACAATTTGGTTTAGAGGTGAAACATTTTGGATCTGCTCGCAATCCTACACCCTCATTGCGGGAAGTAAGTAGTACCTTCCAACCTATACAAAATATATCTAGTTTTTTTTTTTTATAAGAGCATCATCAATGCAAGACTATTAAAATTGATCTTATAATTTGTTTAATAATTTAATGGAAAACTGAGCCTCTTCTACCCATATTTTGTTCTTATATAACATACCATATCTTTGGTTTTAAGTGTATTTTGATTTTTATTTAATGCTAAATTAACATAAGAATGTTCTAAGAACTGTGCATTGAGGATGGTCTAAGTCCTTAACAAAATGAAACTGTGGTTAGTGATTAATAATTTAATACGTAGATCTCATTCTTACCTACTGTTTAATTTACTAAAAACAGAATAATCTAATGCATATATCATAGAATGTCACCTTTTTTCCGTGGAAACATTGGTTTAATTAAGTCCCAATCTTCTTCTCTCCATATATCATCCAGGACAATCAAAGTGTTTTGAGTTTCCAACACTTGCACGAGTTTTTCTTGAAGTTCCTCTTCTGTCATCTCTAACACCTTATATCCTGGCCCAAGTTTTCGCAAGATCGTCTGCCACACATACTTCCTTGTAAGTTGTTGTGAAACACATACCCACGCGAGTCCTGCAAAGTGACTTTTTACCGTCTCATGATTAAAAACTTGTCTTGCGAGGGTGGTTTTACCGATACCGCCCATCCCAGTTATAGAAACCACTTGACTCCTATCTTCCTCTACCAAATAGCCAATCAATTGCTCAACACCCTTCTCCACCCCCACAAGATGATCTTCATAATCGCTAGAAAATGTTTGTCGCATTTCCCTTTGTCTTTCTTGTAAAGAAAGCATATACCTTTCATTGACAATGACCTGTTGTACACCGAGACTCTGCATATCCCGAATCACCTTGGAGATCCTCTCGCTTATGGCTTTAATATCAAAAGCAAGCCCCATGCGTTTAGAAAACCTTCTCAAACTGTTCCTGATCATGCCATTTTTTTTCCCTAGTTCTTGCTTCAGAAGAAAGGTTTCGATTATATCTTCAGCGTCATAAACAATATCCTTGATCTCTTTCACTGAGTTTCTCACCATTGCACTTGTATGTTTCTTTGCATCTGCATCTTCCAAAAAGCACCTTAACATATTTAGATCACTTTTTAATCCATTAAATTGCTCTTTAACTCCTTGAAATCGGTCAGATTCTCGGACAAGGAGGTCCCAAAGCTTCTGAACTCCAAACGATAAAAGTGTCTCAGCCATAAGTCTCCCTGCTCAATTATGAAAGTAGTTTTCGATAAATCACTTGACGAGGATCCATGAGAATTCACAACTCAGATATACTTATTTGGTAATATGTACAGAACAAATTGACCTTTTTTTTTGTTGGATCTTTCTTCAAAGACGACTTGAACAATATTGAAATATCGAGATTTTAAAAAGGTTATGCAAAATACCCAAAAAAAAAAAAAAAAATCGAAGTCGTACCTTCCTCCACCGAAAGTAAAGAGAGAAACGTAATGATCACCTCCTGGAAGTTGCTTCTTGTTCAACTGATCTGTATAAGAAAAATCAAAGATGTGTTATGTTTTTATAAAGATCCATTACAAGAGTTGACTCTCAAGGTTCACATTCATCGTACAAACGTTTTTTTCAGTGAATAAATTTTATATTTCTTACAGAAAAAAAAAAGAAAAAAAAAACTTCGACTACAAAGTCGACACCTACCTTTTGGCCAAATAGTCTTCAAGGTAGCCTTTGGCCACGTGTTTTCTTGAAGTCTTCTGTCTGATGAAGTAAAAGATAGAATATGTTAATCACTTCTTGAGAGGTTTTTTCCACAGAAACAATAACATTTGGAGCTAGCTACCATAGTGATGGCTGGTCCATTTCTTACATTTCGTCTCTTGACAAATGAATTCTTAAAAGACAAAACGACTTTGCATAAGCATATCTACTACCAAAATATCTACTTTTACAAACTTGAAGAAAAAGAAAAAAGCCAATAAATTCTCTAGACATAGACATTTCAGCATCATTCTCCTTATAATTGCAAAAGATCAATTTTTATACGGGTACATACGGTCCAAACCATTTTAAGGATAAGAAAACAAATCAACATCTTCTCTTTTGTTCTTTAGCAAGCAAGGTTCTCGAACAGAAACCAAAGTATTTGGATATGAAACAAACACACATGATAAAGAGATTCTTATTACTGTTATTACAAAGAGATATCTCTCACGATCACGATCCATTTGAGAAGATCTTTACTTCGGAATCACCTTCATAAATGAAAAAAGAGAACACTAAATTTCAATATATTGTATCAATGAAGTGGAGTCATCCTTAAATTTTTCACAAGCATTGGGATACATTAGTTGGCGCAGGCCTAGAAATAATTCTTACTGTTATAGCATAAAACTTGAAAACTAATGATGATTTTTCCAAGTATTCGCAAAATCCAAACCAAAAATCTACTAGAGAAAAAAAATAATTTACCTGTTCTGGTCACATGACATCCCTTAGTTATTCTCAGGTCCGCCCATGATATGAGATAGCCTTCCGCACTATTATTGTCGCCATTGTCGAATACTTAAATGGAAATCATGGAATTACACAAGGAAATTTTAAGTGAGGGAAGAGTATATTACCTGGTTGTCTATTCTGATTTGACAAGGATACTTGGTATCCACACCAAGATTAGTCATGCTAATTACAGGAATCTTCAAAAGAGGAATGTGTTGGATTTTGTAGTAATCTTCTCTTCCTCTGTACAATTTCTCCTTGAATCTTCTATCACTGGTGACAATTTCCAATTCTTTCAAGGAAGTGATAAATCTCATCCCATCAGGAAGTTCCCTCAAGTTATTACAATGACTGATAAACAGAGTATGAAGAAGTGGCATGGAGCCTTCTTTTACTATCCACTCTTCCCACTCATCTATTCCACGTAGGTATAGCTTCCGCAACTGTGCAAACCCACCGCCCGAGCAAACCAGTCTCCTTTCACAGATGCATCTTTCACCTACACTAACCACCTCTTTCGACTCGGGTGGCTTCTCAAGAAGTGGCATTGGATCCTTCTCCAGACAACGAAAGACATCCATATAATATTCATTTGTATCAACCATGTGACCACTTATACTGAGATTTTCCAGGCGCGTTAGTGCACCTAGATATGAAGACAGAGTTTCCATTGTAGTCCCGCCATCGAATAAGATTGATAGAGTCGTTAGCCTTGTCATTCGATCAAGATCCCGCACGTTGCTATGCTTTGTTGAGAAATTCTCCAAAGTCTCCAAGTTAACTAGATCACCTAATTCCAACTTTGCCTTATCATGTATTTTACCCGGTAACCAAAGGTATCTCAGTTCTTGCATTTCTTTCAAGATATTAGGCACAGAAAGTGGATGACCTGCTTTTACATTCAAATTCAAATAAAGCAGCAACTTTAGATTTTGCATAGAAGATGGTAGATGAGATACCTTTGCCATATATAAACTCAAATATCTCAAGTGGATGAGATTTCCAATGTTGGAGGGTAACTTCTCTCCCTCAAACTCAACTCTTGAAAGATCTAAAACCCTCATTAACTGTAGCCGTGTAAAGCTTAAAGCTGGTGCTGTCCACCACTCTGACCCCCGGATTCCATTCTTGATAATCAAGAAAGATCTAAGTTTTGGATTATTCATGAAACACTCCATATGAGTTGTATCACCAAACGAATGTATACCGAGTCTGCGAGATATACATGGAGATTGAGAGCTCACAGCAGGTGAGGTAAAGGTACTTGCATCAACAACTTGTAGGAAATTCTCTTCTTCAGCTTTAAGTAGACAAACTTCTCTCATCATGTCATGCAAGCGACATGTTTCAAATATCAGCGTATTAGTGTCTCGTTCAGAAATCAACATGTTTCTCTTCACTAATTCTCCCACGTATCCGTCTGCGACCTCACGAATGGTCGCTCCATCGTAATTCCTTGGCTTTGGTATTCCTTCTGCAGCCCAGTAGTAGGACAATTTCCCAACATCTATTGGATAATCTTCTGGAAAATGGGTGAGGTAGAGGAAGCATTGTTTCAAATAAATAGGCAGCTCTTCAAAGCTCATATTCAAAATATGATAAATCGAGCTGATACTTCTGTCACTGAAGCTAGTCCCTCCAACGATATGAGATCTAATATTTTCATAGATCCTTTTCCACTCAGTTAATGTCTTTTGGGCAGCTAACAATCCTCCTAACACCTTAACTGCCAACGGTAAACCTCCACAATGTTTCATCATCTGCTTACCCATCTCTTCCATGTCTTCATCAAGCTTATATTCTACATAACATCATGAATTCAAACTATGGTAAACATACATGAATTCCCATAAGAACTAGACATGCTGGAGTGGTAATATTAAGGACCAGAATAAATGAAAATGTCTTGACAGCTTACCGGTAGTGTTTTCTCTAGCAAATGCTAAGCTTCGAAAAAGTGTCCAACTTTCTGTGAGAGTTAGACACTCCGGTTTAAAGGTGAAACATGTCGGATCTGCTCGTAATGCGACACCCTCATTGCGAGAAGTAAGTAATACTTTCCAACCTATACAAAGTATCTCTTTTTTTTAAAAACTCCCTTACAAATAAACTAGTATGTGTGCCTAGTTCTGATCTTTCTTAATTTTTTACCCAGCAGGTGAATAACAAAAATGTATATATCATATGGTGTCACCTTTGGCCGGGGGAAAAATTGGTTTGATTCTGTCCCAGTCTTCTTCTTTCCATATATCATCAAGGACAATCAGAGCTTTTTGTGTTTCCAGCACTCGAACAAGATTTTCTTGAAGTTCGTCTTCTGTCATTTGTGATACGTTATATGCTGGCCTGAGTTTCCGCAAGATCGTCTGCCACACATACTTCCTTGTAAACTGCTGCGAAACACAAACCCATGCGAGTCCTGCAAAATGACATTTTATTGTCTCATGATTTATAACTTGTCTAGCAAGAGTGGTTTTACCAAGACCGCCCATCCCGGTTATAGAAACCACTTGACTGCTATCTTTCTCCACCATATAACTAACCAATTTCCTAACGTTTTTCTCAAACCCCACAAGAACGCTTTCATTGTCGTTAGCAAACGTTTGTCGCATTTCTCTATGTCGTTCTTGTAGAGACTTCATGTACTCGTCACTGACAATGACATGTTGTACGCCAAGACTCTGCATATCGCGGATCACCTTAGCGATCCTCTTACTTATGGCTCCCATATCGAAAGCAATTCCCCTTCGCTCCACGATAGCGGAAGATAACCTTCTGGCATGGTTCCTGATGCCACTTTTTCCCCCAAGCTTTTGCTTTAGAAGAAAGGTTTCGATTATATCTTCAGTATCATAAACAATTTCTTTGATCTCTTTCACAATGTTTCCAACCATTGCACTTGTATGTTTTTTGGCATCTGCATCTTTCAAAAAGCACCTTAACATATTTAGATCACTTTTCAATTCATTGAATTGCTCATCAACTCCTTTAAATCGCTCAGATTCTCGAACTAGGAGTTCCCAGAGCTTCTCAACTCCAAATGACAAAAGTGTCTCAGCCATATGTCTCCTGGTTAACCATGAAAATAGTAGTCAGATAATAAGTAAAGAGGTACCAGTAGTTCAGAAATCGAATAATAATTCTGCATATCTTTGTGCAGAGAATAAAGAAAAAAAAAAAAAACATAGATCACCTTATGTTTTAGATCAATACACATATGAAATCGCAGCACCTTCCTCCTAAAAGACTATTTTGGTTCACCTAATGTGGTTAGTTAGAACTCTCCTTATTCCTTAAGATCTACTTGACTATAAGAGCCAACACCTACCCAGAAAGTCTTTAAAGGCAAACACACTATCATTCCCAGCAACTTCCTACTTTTACATTTTGGCTCAAAATAATGTAAATTGGTCCAACTTGGTGTAATGTAACAAAAGATATAAAATATGATAATCACTTTCTTAGAAGTTTCTTAACAGAAACAAGATAACGTCAGTGTATTAGGCGTACAAGGGAAGAAGAGTATTGACATTATTGTTGTTATTGTATAACGATTTATAATACTAATACTCTCACGATCATGATGATCCACTTGAAAAACTCTTGGCTTCAAATCAGATATTAACCTTAAGAATAAGAAAGAGAACATTAAGTATAATTGTTTTCACATCAATTAAGTCAAGCTATCCTATATTCTTTTCTCAGACAGTGTAATCGTGCTATTAATGTGGCCATTGTCAGAATAATATTTGTGGAATTTGATTGGGGCAAGAACATATTACCTGATTGTGTATTATTGGAGAGTCCTCGTCTGAAGTATTCTTGTCGAATACAGGAATTTTCAAAAGTGGAATGTGTTGGACTTTGTAGTAATCTTCTCCTCCTTCTTTCAATTTAACCAAAAATTCCCACTTAGACGTATATATACTCAGTTCTTTCAAGGAAGTGATAAATCTCAGACCATCTGGAAGCTCTTTTAAGTTCTCACAGTGACGAAGAGTGAGAGTACGAAGAAGCGCCATGGACCCTTCTTCTACTATCCATTCTTCCAACTGACTTAGTTCTTTCAATATAAGCTTCTGCAACTGAGGAAACCCACCGCCCGAACAAACCATTCTCCTCCCAACAAACGCGTTATGCCATAACGTAACCACATGTAAGTGAAGCATCTTTCCTAGAATGGGCATCGGATCCTCCACCAAACGACAATGATGTAGCGATATGGTTGTAAGGTGAAAAGGAAAGTGTTGCTCATCAGGTAATCTTGGCATATATATAGTCAAATTCAGCTGTTTGAAATGACTGCAGTCCAAAACAAATCCTTCTTCATCATTCTTGGGAGCATATATTTTATAACCATAAATATTAAGACTTTCCAGGTGCCTAATTTCACTTAGTGATGAAGATAATGCTTCCATAGTGCACTCCTCGCTGTTGAATATTATTGAGAGACCTCTTAGCCTTGTCATACGTTGAAGATCCGTCACACTACTATGCTTTGTTGAGAAATTCTGCAACGTCTCCAGGTTGACTAGATTACCCAATTCCAACTTTGTCTTATTTTTTATCTCCCAAGGTAAATAAAGGTATCTCAGTTCTCCAAACTCCTTCAAGAAATCCGACATGTAGATTGTATAGAGAAAGGATATTTCTTATTTATTGAATGACTGTGAATTACAAGTATATATACAACAGAGGAGACTAGGGTAAAAGATAATAACAAGTAGAAACCCAACACATCCCAACACATCTAGATTCAAATAAAGAAGCAGCTGAAGATTCCGCATGGAAGAAGGTAGATGAGATACCATAGCACGATATAAACTCAAGTATTTCAAGTGGATTAGCTTCCCAATGCTAGAGGGTAGCTTTCCTCCTTCAAACCGGCATCTAGAGAGATCTAAAACCCTCATCAATTGTAACTGTGTAAAGCATAAATGTAATGGCATCCTATCTAACCTTGGAAGCTGCTTGATAAACAAGAGAGATCTAAGTTTCGGATTCGGCATATGCACCTCCATATTAAATGTATGACTAGGCAAGTCTATGGCGAGTCTGCGGGAGCGTGATATACATGAAGATTGAGAGTTTGAGGTTGAGGGAACGATACTTGCATTAACAATTTGTACAAAACTCTCTTCTTCAGATTTAAGTAGACAAACTTCTCTCATCATGTCATGCAACTGACATGTTTCATATCTCGAAGTCATAAGGTCTCGTTCAGAAATAACCATATTCCTCTTCACCAATTCTTCTATGTACCCATCTGCAACCTCACGATCAGAGGCTCCATCGTAATACTGTGGCCTTGGTATTCCTTCTGCAGTCCAGTAATAGAACAAATTTTCCACATCTATTGCATAGTCTTCTGGAAAGTGAGCAAGGTAGAGGAAGCAGTGCTTTAAATAAATAGGCAGCTCTTCAAAGCTCAGATACAGAATCTGATATACGGAATTGATATTTTTGTCACTGAAGCTAGTCTCTCCAATAATGTGGGATCCGATATTCTCATATACCCTTTTCCACACACGGAATGTGTATTGCGCAGCTAACAATCCCCCTAACACCTTAACAGCCAATGGTAGACCTCCACAATGTTTGACCATCTGCTTACCCATCTCTTCCATTTCTTCATCAGCATTATGATCTACACAACATCATCATGATATGGTGAAAAGTTACATGAATGTCTCTAAGGATAAGACGTAAGAGAGATATTATTAAGAAAAAGAGGCTTACTGGTAGAAGAACTATCTCTAGGAAATGCTATTCTTCGAAAGAGTGTCAATCTGGTCTAAAGGTGAAACATGTTGGAGTTGCATGTAATCCAACACCCTCGTTACGAGAAGTAAGTAGTACCTTCCAACCTACAAAAAAGAGTACCTTTTTTTACATAACTCCCTAACCAAAAAGGAGCTTAATGCTTTACGACCAATATGTGAACAATGTATTGTAAATATAAACCTGAGAGCGATATAAAGTATGTACCAAGAGGCGTCACCTTTTCCCCGTGGAAAAATTGGTTTGATTATGTCCCAATCTCCTTCTCTCCATATATCGTCAAGGACAACCAAAGACTTTTGTGTTTCCAACATTCGAACAAGATTCTCTTGAAGGTCTTCTTCTGTCATCTCTAACACCTTATATTCTGGCCGAAGCTTCTGCAAGATCGTTTGCCAGATATACTTCCTTGTAAACTGTTGTGAAACACATACCCAAGCCAATCCTTCAAAATGGTTTTTCACCATCTCATGGTTAAAAACTTGTCGAGCTAAAGTAGTTTTACCAATACCACCCATTCCGGTTATAGAAACCACTTGACTGCTATCTTCCTCCACTAAATAGCCAACCAATTGCTCAACATTCTTCTCCAACCCTACGAGATGGTCTTCATAATCGCTAGAAAACGTTTGTCGTATAACCCTTTGTCTTTCTTGTAAAGACTGCGTATCATTATCATTGACAACGACCTGTTGTACGCCAACAGTCTGCATATCGCGAATCACTTTAGCAATCCTTTTACTTAGAGCTTCCATATCAAAAGCAAGTCCCCTACGATCAGCAATAACACAAGCAAGTTGTCTAATACGTTTCTTGATGCCACTTGTTTTGCCAAGTTCTTCTTTTAAAAGAAAGGTTTCGATTATATCTTCTGCGTCATAAACAATTTCTTTGATCTCTTTCACAGTGTTTCTCACCATTGCGCTCGTATGTTTCTTGGTATCTGCATCTTTCAAGAATCCCCTTAACGTCTCTAGTTCACTTTTTAGTCCATTGAATTGCTCTTCAACTCCCTGAAATCGCTCAGATTCTCGAAAAATAAGGTCACAAAGCTTCTCGAATCCGAATGACAAAAGTGTCTCGGCCATTAAACCCCTGTAGCATAAAAAAAGACATAAACGAGTCTATCAAAAAGGTTCAAAACAAAGCCATGTTTCTCAGTTCATAAGTCACTACCAAGTCCCCATCAGACTCGTTAGAACAAAACACTCAAGATCACCAAGACAGACCACGAAGACTAAGTACAGTACTGAGGAAATTTTCCCAAGAAAGCTTAAAAGTCAAGAATACTGAAAATCTCAGATTCGTTTTGACAAAAACCAAAAACTAAGGAATCAAGATCACAAATATAGACAAAGAGGACTAAGTACTGACCTCTGTCTAAGGCACAAGGAACGAAACTCAACCGTCTTCCCCCCTTTGGTTGGATGGAGTGAGATGGATTGATTTTTGTTTTGGAAACTCAACTTGTGTTGTTGTGTAAATAATTGCTTTTTTAGTCACAGGCAGCGAAAGGAGAGAAGAAATTGAGCAGGGCCCAAAAGTTTGAGGGGCCAAAAATTTTGAAGGCCCATGTTTATAAACTTCTTTGCTACACGCTTCACAGTATCGATTTCTTCTTTCTTTCTTTTCTTTTTCTTTTTGTATATCACAAATCGTTTCCATAATTCCAAAATGTATCATTTTCTATGGATTCCTTTTTGATGGAATTTAATTCAAAAATGAAAGAAAAAAATTGAGTACAGTCTGTGAGAAATTTGGCATTGCGAGGGCAAATTTTCTTCCAATTCTCAGTGTTCTAACATACATTGAGCGCAATCTTATTCCGGAGTTGTTCAAGATTAGAATTAGCGCAATGCGACGCGTTAAAATACCTTAGTCAGCGAAAAAGCCATTGACAGTAAACTAGCTTTGAAATATATACAATCGCATTTTATAAGATAAAGTTGTGTTGTAAAATTTTCTCTAACAATAGTTTTTGTTTGCCACTTTCTAGTCAAAACATTATTGTTGTGCTCGTGGTAAACTTTGATGAATCTCAAGAAGACATAACAAGAAGAAAAATATATTTTTGAGATACTCTTTAAAAATATAAGTTTATTTTATTTAATGTGAGTGTAAAACCCTTAAGATACCTATATCGCCAAATCCTGAAATAGCTAGGAAATAGGCATACTATGATTTATATTTCTGTAATTCTATGATACATTACATCGTAATATATAAATGCTAAAATACAGAAAGAGAAAGTAATGTCTCACAAAAACTTGAAGTTAATTTCACTTATTTTCTTCTTAAGTTTACACACTTTGCATTGCATGCAAATACATTTCTACGATAATCTCAAGATGTAGAACTCACGGATTGAGCTCTATCCTCAAATTCTCTTATAAGCTTGGCGACTTTATCGATCTCCGGTAACACTTTCTTCACCTTTTCATCTGACAGAAACCGATTGGCCCATCTATAAAGAGAAGGAATTTTTGATTCATCTATAATCTTTTCTTTTGTAAGCTTCTCTCTAGCTTTTAAGAAAACTAGAAAGCTTCCGAGGCAAATATCTACGAACCCGATTGCTTCACCGCTGAAAAAAGATTTCCCATTGCTGAGAGTAATAAACGCATCCTCGAGTTGCAACAACCCTTCTTCCACATCTTCCATGCCTTTCGCTTTTGCCTCTTCCGACTTAGCGACCATAGCAGCCATCAAAGCCGGAAACCACTGCATTTTTGAAATGGAAATTTAGCGAAACTAGTGTGATATGAATTTGTTCTAAATCTTAAACCAATCAAGCTTTATCAATGTTGATTATGTCATGGTAGTAACTTTCTGACCAAATTTAACATCCATCAAAATATTTAGAGTGATTGCTTAAACAGCTTAGTTTCTGTTCTATGTAACAAAATAATGTCTGATGTAAAGAACATTATATATAATATAACTCTTTCAAGCTGAAATATTCACACTTCTTATTGCATAGTCCATTTAATTTCAACAATCCAGCCATATAAGCGTAAACAATTAGTTTGTGTCACTCTAACTCGTACCTCCCTAAGAATATCATTTCGCATAAAAGATTGATCACAAATTCACAACATATACAAATTCTTGACTTAAGAAAAGGAAAAATCCAGAAAACTGACCTTGTCATCAACAAAGGCAGACCAGAAGCGAGCAAGAGCACGATCATGAGGATGAGAAGGAAGAATGGATGGTCCAGTTGAGTTCCACGTCTCATCGATGTACTCAACGATGTTAAGAGACTCACAAACCGGTTTGTTGTTGTGGATCAGCACCGGGACTTTCTTGTAAACCGGGTTCGATTTGAGAAGAAGTTCACTCTTGGATCCGAACAACTCTTCTTCAACGTAATCATACTCGACCGATTTGAGACGAAGAGCTATCTTTGCTCTTAACACGACCGGACTGTACCATGTTCCCTACAATTTCACTTCCTCTTTCTCTCCCATCTTTGATTTGATTTAATTATTTTCAATTTAGGTCTATCATTTAGTCGGTGAAGAAGAAATCAAGAAACAAGTAAATATTTAGAGGTTAAGCCAGTTTTGTGTTCCTTTACGGCACTTTTCTTCTTTTGTCTGCTTCTTAGTGAGACAAAATCAGGACAAAGTCAGATCAATAGACAAACCCCAAAAAGTAAGAAAAAAAACAAAAAAAAAAAACAGGACACTAGTCTACATATGATCTTTCTACACATCATCTTCATCTCCAAGCTTGTAGGAACTAAAATGCTCCACTTTGAACGTCCACTCGCCTTTCACAGCATCATAAGACACAAACTTAGCTCCTTGTTCATCAGCTTTCCTCTTCAGCATTTCCTTGTACTTGTCCAATCTGGCGCCTTCCTTCACTTGCGTACCGGTCTTCTTGTCCATACATTTTATGTTCAGCAAAGTTACTACCGCAGGCTTATTCAATCCTTGACCCACTGGCGGTTTTTTGCTCTCGTCCATGTACACATTCACTTCTCGGTTTTTGAACTGAACCACCATTTCCAAGTCGAGTCTACACACATCTGTCTCTCCTAGAAACTTTATACTCCCGTAACCATGTCTCCCAACAACAAAGTCCTTTACCCGCTTGCAATGACCAGGATCAATCCTTTCTTTTGCAGCCAGTTCTTGGATCCGAGGCTCTGTGAAATATTCAGCGTGATGCAGCTTTGGCATCAATGACTCGATATCTGCTCCACTTGGTGAACTGTATGAACTGTTTTTGTCGCCTCTGTCATTTTCATGTGTCCCGTTCGGTTTCTGATTGGCTTTAACCGGAGGAGCCTCACAAGTTTCACCGTCATTCTTGTCTGCAGATATTGATAGTATAGTCAGAAAATGCTCCTCGCAATGCAGATATTAATCACTATTTCATTACATATTCATATTATAAATACTCACTCTCATGGTGGGCTCCATTAGTAACCCCATTCGACTTCTTACCTGAAGAGGTCAAATTAGATGTTACAAGTGAAAACTTCTCATTTCTTATCTATTAGAGCCATGTCTAAAAAAAGGAGCTACATTTGGGACAATGGAAAGCCTCTTTTTGCAATAAATAAGCCAATAAATGTAAAAAAGCAAGCTTACCGTTCTCCTGCAGTGGGGTCGGGTCATCCTTTGGATGTTCTGATTTTACCCTTTCAACTGGGCGTATAAATAGTGCTCTAGGGTTTTCCCTTGGAATGAAAAAGGCATCAGCCTTTGGTGTACTGGAATTCTCTTCATCACTGAAGAATGGAACCTGAAAAAAAAATTGAAGAAACAAACAGTTAGAAAGAAACTCAGTAACAAAACTAAAGAGTGAGGTATTCAAGGCCAAGCCAAAATTCAGAAAACAGAAAACATGCCTTTGGACCATCATCACCAGGACGGTACTTTCTTGTAGGTAGCCTGACCCGCCTTTGGAAAAGGTGTCGAGAAGTCAGGAGTGGTGATACTCTAACAGGAGCAGGCTTATCAACAACCTGAGAAGAAAGGAAAATATATACGGGTTAATAACATGGAGTAGTCATTTGTTTCTGTCTTAACATCGTATCTATGTGAGCAATGACAAACTTCAAGATGTTATGTAGGGAATTAAATGCATAGGTCTAGCAACATAATTTTCGTTGCTTCAAATTTGAAAAGAAGTTATGAAGAAAAAAGGTGGGTGTGTGGGTGTTGGAAAAGGCAGAATAAACTTACAGGCATGCTGGAGATTCCAGACTGAATCGAAGGTGAATTTCCACCTTGACCAATTGAAATCTGAGGCAAAGCAGGAAGCGTTCCAAAGGGGTTTGTAACAGGACTTGGTTGCATAACAGCAGAGTTACCCAATGCAGGTCTGTCAAAACAAAAAGAAAAGAATGAAGCTCCAGGGATGCAACTTCCAAAAAACAAAAATATCTTCTGGGTTCATAAATTATCTGAAAGGAAAATAAGAGTCGGAAAAACTGATGTCAAAGAGACTATACCCTTGCTTAAAATTGCCTTGGCTAAAATTTCCCATTCCACCTGTAACGCCAGATGTATTAGCTTCACAAAATAAACATACAAGCCTAGCTTCTAGTATTCAAGATAATAATATTAAGAGTGCTTTGATTGATTGACATACCTGTTTGTGTTTGACCAAAGTTGTTGAAACCAAGAGCACCTGATGGTTGAGTTGGCTGAACTGATTGGTAAGCCGAAACAGGAGGCTGCAAAGATAAACCATATTAGAAATCTCAACATAACTCAAAAGGCAGAGAAAGAGACATCAACTCTGAAGTGAACTGGCATTTAAATTAGTTAAAAATAAACTCACCGTTATTTGACCAAAGGGAGAGATGTTTGTAGTTGGGGATGAAGAGCTTGAAAACAGGTTCGCTGCGCCAGTGGAAGGTGAGCTGAAAATGTTACTCTGTCCATTTGTAGGATTGGTATTCTGTCCAAACACAGGATTAGTGTGTGGGAATGCAGGAGTTGTATTCTGCCCAGAGGGGTTTGGACCAAACAGCGGAGATGACTGATTGTTAAAATTTCCACCAATGCTAAATGTTGAATTTGACCCATGTGCAGGAGCTGAACCAAATGGCTGCGATGTGTTTGTTGCAAAACTGGAGGATGATCCAAAAAGGGATATGGTATTTGATGCAGTTGACCCAAACATGGATGGGGTAGTGGGTTGACCAAAGGATGGGGCAGTGGATTGACCAAAGGATGGGGTAGTGGTTTGACTAAAGGATGGGGTAGTGGGTTGACCAAAGGATGGAGTAGTGGGTGGACCAAATGATGGGGTAGTGGGTGGACCAAACGGTGAGGAAAAATTTGGGGTAGTTGTTTGAGTCTTCTGTGCAAAAGGGTTTGCTGGATTTGCAGGTGTCTGGCCAAACGTTGGTGAAGGAGAGAATGTACTTGGCTGAGAAGTTGTTACTCCAAATCCAGTACCTCCAAGAGATTGACCAGCAGGAAGTTGTCCACCTGAAAAATTGAACAACAAGAGAATCAATATTTCGGTAAATAAAGCCCAAACATCTAACCTTATGACAAACGCATAACATGGATTTGTCTGGCACGTGACCTTTATCTCCTCGCTGGTAGTCCTCCCACCTAAGCTCCTCCTGGTTTTTTTCTTTGTATGCAGGCATGGCAGATATAGATTGTAGATTCCCTGAGTTACCGCCTGACTCGGCATCATTTGTAGGTGCAAAAGGCATGACCCTACTACCCCCTTGTTGACCCCCAAATGTTGGAGTTGATACCTGTGCACCTGCAAAACAAAACATGTGAACATAATTAGTAACCATTTAATGGGTGAGAACTTTCACTTCTAATCTTGTAATTGAAAAGGACGAGCTAGAGAACCTTGGGCTCCAAAGGGAGACTGTGTAGAACCAAAGCCACTGCTACCAAATGCTGAGGTAGACTGTCCAAACGCTGGGGAAGAGCCAAAACTAAAAGATGGGGTACTTGATGCCCCAAAGGCAGGAGTATTTGATGCCCCAAACGAAGGAGTGCTTGACGCACCAAATGTAGGAGTGCTTGATGCACCAAACGCAGGAGTGCTGGATGCACCAAAAGCACCTCCAGTACCGAAGGCATTGTTGCCAAATGCAGTGCCAGAGCTACCAAAGGCTGGAGCAGGTGACGCGCCAAATGCAGGTGAGCTCGAGGCGCCGAATGAAGGTGTACTTGAGGCACCAAAATTAGGTGTGTTTGCGGAGCCAAAGGCAGGCGTGCTTGTGGCTCCAAACGCGGAAGTGTTTGAGGCGCCAAACGCAGAAGTGTTTGAGGCGCCAAAAGCAGGCGAGCTAGAGGCACCAAAGGCAGGCGTGTTTGAGGCACCAAAAGAGCTGTTTCCAAAGGCAGGCTGCTGTGTGGAGTTTCCAAAAGGACTTGAATGAGGCGTTGAGAGGCCAAAAGTCTTCTGACCAAACGTAGAAGCGCCTGGAAGAAAAAATTGATCAGTCTTGGTAAGAAATGTTGCATGTAAGAGATATATCAAAAGACTTATGAGAACCTGGAACCTAAAGAAAACAGGAGCTAGTACTGTCATGAAGAAAACCCAAAAAGACTACTAATTTTGAAAATAGTAACAAATATATTGAAACATAAAACTTGGATATTCAAACGCTTGAAGAAATCAGAAACCAGAAGCAAAAGTATATGTTTACATCTAAGTCCTACTGAGAGAAAGTAGATCCTATTTCATTAGCCCTATCGACGTATCAACTACAAAATATGAACACATATAGCTTATTCCAGGCCTGGTAAAGCACTAAATCAAAGAAAAGATCTGAAAAAACCTAGGCAGCAAAACACATAAAAGGTACTTACCCCCAAAAGGTGAAGCTGAATTACCAAATGCAGGAGTAGAAGATGCTCCAAAAGCAGGAGTAGAGCTCCCAAACGCTTGTGATGAAGCACCAAAAGGAGAAGAAGTTTGAGGTGCACCAAATACGCCGGTTGAAGTGCCCCCAAACATGGAACTCCCTGTCTGTGCGCCAAAAGGAGTAGACGTACCAAAGGGTTTCACAGCAAAGGGATTATTGCTCGTGTTATTGGTCTGCCCAAACAAAGATTGCGTTTGGGTCCCAAATGGACTGCTGTTAGATGACTGTCCAAAAGCTGTAAGCAAATATTAAACAGGTCAGGTTAGCATAGCAAAAACTATAAATATCAAAACTTAGTTAAGAAACAAAGGTAAGATATGTGCAAGTTAAACAGGAACAATGGTAAATAAAGAAATAAGGTAAGGATCACTTACGATTAGAAGAACCAAACATCTTTCTCTATATATTCACGAATCCGGCCTCAGCCAAATGAACTGTTTCTTCTACCCTGGTACAACAAAGCAAGAAATTATCAAGAACAGTTATAAGAAGCACAAAAAGCAAACACAAATTCCAAAACATGAACATGATATACATTAAAGATGTCCATGAGAACCCAAACAGACCAATTTACACCAATTTAACACACAAATACTCGTAATTAGATCGACATTGAACAAGGCAACATCACAAGTTGTGTAATTCCTAACCAGGAATCATCAAATTAGAAAACAGAGAACGAAAAACCAAAACCAACACTAATCGATAGCATAAACTTCAACATATACTCCCTATAAATCCGATGGAAACCAATCTAACCAAGACTATACTACGTCTAACGAATGCCACAACAAGACAGAGACTTACGAAGCCGAAAAAATTAGGGTTCAGGCGTGAACAAACCGCCGAAACTAATAACGGAAACGATTGTTGTTCGTCGTCATATCAAAACAAAGAGGATTTGAGGAATGTTACCTTGAAGGAAGAAGCACGATACGGCGTTGACGGAGAACGAAGGTAGAGATGCAGAGACCTCCTCGCCAGAATTTGAAAAGAAAAAAAAGAAAGGCTAAAAGTTTTACGTATGGGGAAAGAGGAGGAGGAGGGCTGAGTATATAAACAAGGAGTTCCTGCGTTGTATTCAAGTCCAGTGTAGCGTTGGAGAGACGCTCGGCGATTTAACCGGGATTTAATAGCCGGTTCGCGTTGTGTTGAAGTCAATCTAGCGTCTTTCTAACGCTCGGTTTGTGAAATTAATTTTCCCGGTTCGCCCGCTTGAATTTGTTTTTGTTCTGTTTTTTTTTTTCTTTTTTTTTACTGTCTTTTTTAGGTTTTACAATTTTTCAGTTTTATTTTCTTCTTTAACGTTGACTTTTTAATCTTTCTTTAATAAGATGATTTTGGGATTTTTTTTTTTTTGGTAAGAAGATGATATTGGGATTTTGTGTCAACTTTTGTTTGCTCTATTCTAAAATGAAAAATCTATATTTCATGAATATAATGAACATATTAGATAGCATAACACAAAAAAAATTGTTCCAATTAGTATAGTTTTGTGTAAATAGGTGCAAATAATTAGAGTGAACTACACATATCCCTTCAACTTTTTTAAACCTTTTCTTGTTTTAATATTCCTTCATTCTCATAATTGTCTCCAGTTGAAATGAAGAATGATGTTACAGAATGATGTATGTTTCTATATACTCAAGTTAGCCTTGTAGGTAACTTCTACGGTCATGTTACAGAATGATGTATTTCTATATACTCATCCCTTTCATTATTGTGTTCTTCAAATGGAGAAAAAGCCCTTAGATTTTGTGTTCTTGAGTAACAACAAAAGAAGGAAAAAAGAATAAAGAAAACACAATTTTGTGTTCACTATGATTATAGGAATTCTTGACTAAGAGCTAACTGATGATAATTCATGTAATCAATCCCGTTTAACCGGACACAACACAGTATTTGCTCTGGTAGTTCCTCTGCTTTATTCCCCTGAAACCAAGATTATACAGTTACTTACCACAGAGATTTGACTGAAAATATCGTCAAAGAAGCAAAATTTTGTAATCCGTTACCTGAATTGTGAGTCCAACATCAAGAACACAGTGCTTAAGCCTGTCTAGAAATGCTTCGAATCCTTTCCGCGATATATAACTGAACCTATGCATATCGATATCAATCTCGAAGTAATTTTCACCCTATATGATCAAATTTCAGAGTTAAGTAAGTTAAGTATTGTCTTGCAGGTTTCAATAGGATTTGTATTTGTTAGGGTGCTTGTGACATACCGAGTAGAACTCATGTTGTGGGCGTGATAACACGGGTTTTTCGTTATAAGCATTCATGAGTTTTTTCTCTGCACCGTTCAACTGGAGATCATCTACATTTGCAACACGCCCCAATATCTTTAATCGTTCTCTAAATGGTACATTTGTATCCATAGCAAATCCCCTAACTTTCTCAACCTCATCATCTATTAATCTCTGCATATATCCAAAGACAAAAGCGATTCAGAAATGTGTATTCAACAGAAGAGCACAGAACAAACAAAACCGAATCACGAGGAGGAAGATAAAATTACCTGAATGCTTTCTTGGAAATGAGGTGGAAGCTCCTTTAAATAATTATCCGAAAGTTTAAAGTATAAAACAAAATTCATTCCTTCTCCATCAGTTTCACCTTGAAAGATTGCAGCTGGATACAATGGAATCTATGATTCCAATAGCAACATCATCATTAAACCAAAACACCAGAGACAGACAATACAAAGAAGAACAATTTAACTATGGAACTAGACAATATACCTGAACATTTACAACAAGTATTGATGGGAGCTTGGTCGAGGTGGTATTAATAACAGGAAGCTCCACGTATTGCGCTATATGGTTTATTTTACGTTGAGATAAAAATACATCGACACCAAATGGATTATATGCAGCATAGTTTGGTGCAAACTCTTTCTTCTTTTCTCTGCCAAAGATAGCGAAATATCAGTTGAAAGTTAGTAACAGAACATATAATCAGGCACTCGAAACAACAAGCTCTCCCTGTATATTTACCTGAAATAAGTTTTGCCACGAACCCGGAAACTACCAGGCTCAATGATAGACCAGCAATCGAACATTTTCTTTTCAAGGGGACAAAACGGAACCTGAGAACCTGCCATTGGTCTCTGCAACTGCATCTTTGTAGAAACTGAAACATTGTGAAGAACAAAGTGAGTTCTTAGATTGAAATATTTTCAGTTCAAACACAGTGGAACCACAACTGAAACTTACATAAAGGACCAGTAGGGTGTCCTTCTCTCCACTTGAAAGATAGTTTAAGCGCAGCTTTTTTCCTCGTACTTGGAGGGCTAGAGCTTAAAGATCTTCTCTTTTCAATAGAAGGAACAGTCGAATGAAGACAAGGCAAGCAATTGCTTGGCAGAATCCCGCAGTTTTCCAACAATCCTTCATCTTTTCTAGAGCTATCATCAGCATTTGAAGATATCTCGTCGATAAAAACAGGCTGCTTAGTGTCAGTCAAAGTACTCTCTGATTTTGATTGTGAGATGACATCATCTACGGTTGAGTGAGAATTGGAAGTCTTGGGACCATCGCTTAGAGAATTCCGTGCAGAACCGCCAAGGTTTGAGTCTTTAACAGACGACATACTCGATACTGAGATACGCTCACCTCCATTTACAGACAACATATCTGAAACAAAAGATCCCAAACGATGATGAAATGAATGTGATACAAGGATCCTAGGAAGAATCAAAAAGGGTGTTTTAAAGAAGCTTTTGTTATACCTTCCTGAACACTGTGAAAATCATCGTCACAGTCGGTTTCAAAGGCGAGGTTGGAATCAAACCATGCTTCATCAACGCTTGCTGTTTCATAAATGAGACCAAGTCAGGTGAATATTTCTAACTCTAATAGAGACTGAAGAATTCAACTAAAGTGACACAACCCCCAAGTGTGATGTAAACAAAATGTTAATGCTGTTTCTTAGTTTGATACTCACAATTCAATGCTCATAAAAGATTTTAACTATTTAGAGAAAGATTCACACTTTTTGAGTAATAAACCTATAAAATCAAATCCCCTTTTCAACATAAATCACAACTGTAAGCTAAAATCTACCAACACTCTAACCACAACCTAATCCCCAATTACCCAAATCAACACAGTAAACAACCAAAAGATCTAACATTTCAAATTCAATCAACCAAAAGCTTAAACAAACCTTCAAAGATACACAGAAAGACAATAACCAACGAAACCAAATCGATCATAAAACACAGAACAAAGACCAAAATCAAGCAAATCAATAGAAATGCAGAGAGAAACAAAAGGTGAGGTTTTTCTAATTGAGAGAGACCTCTGAAAGTGGGATTAGAGAAAGAACGATCGTGATTATCGAAAGATCCATCAGATAAGCGAGAAGAAGACACAACTCTCTTCTTCTGAATCTTTCGTCTTGTCCGAGTCTTTCTCCTCTTGCTTGACCTTATTTTACCTCCCACACAGCTCTTGGGCGTTGACACACAACCTCCCATCTCTCTCTCTCTCTCTGATCACAAAATCAACATACAAGATCTCTCTAAACCCAGAACCTGAACAGAGAGAGAGATAAAGCTGTCTCCTTTAGTTCTTGTAGAGAGAGAGAGGAAAAAATGTTTCTTTTCTCTTCTCTTTCTTCCTCTTCTGATCAGAAATCAGATAGAATCTGCCAGACACGATCTTCAAATCCACTAATTAGAGAGAAATGTGGTAAATGAGACACAGACAACTAGACAAACAATTTGGTGAAGAAGGGAGCTTTTTTTTTATTTTTCTCTTTATTTCGAAAGAAATAGATATAAGTAAACTGTAATTTTTTTATTGGTTGAAAATATATTTTGGGATTTGTGAAGTCAATGAGAAAAAATGGGAAAAAAAATTATCAAAAGACAAGTTGTTAAAAAATTTCAATAGTTATCGGCATATACGGTGAGTTAACGGCATCTTCCATTTTGGATTGAAGCAACAACGCATTAGATTTTGTCATTTTGAGTTTTGATGGTAAATATGGTTGGGGTGTACAAATCCATATGTAATTTAGTCTTTTTTTTTTTTTTTTTTTTTTTTTTTATTTTAAGAAACAATAATAAATCTTATAAATTTATTTGTTTCTATGTAAAAATTATTTATAATTGTTTGGTAATTGTTTGGTACACAATGATTTTCGCAACCATTCGAATCATATATTTTATTTAATGTTTTGTATTTATGTAATTAGTAATTTTACGTACTACATATGCTTATTTGGGGTTTATTCTTAATAATGTAACACTTCGTGTTCATGTGGTGGAGAATGAGAATATTATAGATTATGATGGCAAAGAGTTTTTTTTTATAATCACAAGTGGTTGAAAAGATCAGTCTTTATTAGCTACTAGAATCTAATTTGGATTTGTTTAGTAGTTAAAAGATACAGTACTAGTTTAGTTCTCTCAATATATATTTTCATTTTCATTTTAATTCACGAATAGGAATTACAATTTTAAGTTATTGATGTATTTTATAAAACTATATAATATTTGTATTTTAATGAGATATATATAGAATTTTGACCACTGGTTATTCAAGTCTTTAGTACGAATTTTAACAAAACACGACATTGTATTTTAAGAAACTTTGAGGTAACAAAAAGCTTCATGTAATCATTTTTGGTCGTACACTACATATATTGTGTATTTGTCTATTTCATTTGTTAGGCAAAGTATGGCCATCTAAAATTACACGTGTCAAATTCCTAGTGGCGCATGATTTTTGTTTTCACTCGGCTTGTTGTCTTGTACTCTTGTTCTTTTTATTAAACTATGCAAATCGACAATATCTTGATCATTAGATGTGCTTATGATTTTTTACCAAAACAAATCATAAACACCAAAAGAAATGTGTTTGTGATTAAAACTCAATCGTTAATCAAAAAATCTTTACAAAATGCCAAAAAGAAAATTTCTTATTACATGAATGTATATAATTGCAGATGTAATAATAAAAAGTTCCAAACAACAAGAATTTTAGGATAAAACTATAGGAGATTTTTAAAAAAATATCTCTTATTAAATACAATTTTTTAAAATCTATTCTCTCTTTAAAATTTAATAAAAATATTTGTAAAGATATGAAATTTACCCACATACGTATGTATATTTATAACAAAAATTACATTTATATGTATGTAAAATCTTATAAATAACTACACATACTTTACATATACCTTGTAAAGCTTTATATATAACATAAAACCATATAGTTACCTTATAAAATCTTATTAAACACCTTACAAAAACTTATAAATACATAAATCGAGTTTTTAAGTAGTAGTTACAATCCATAAGTATTTTATAAACTTTATAAAAACATTCTAAATTTTTCAGATTTAATGAAAAGTATTTTTGAAAATAGACATGAGAAAATAGCATTTTCAAATGAGGATACAAAAAGAGAAAATAATCTCATAAAATCCCAAAAATATATCCCATTATATATAACGTATAAACATGATGATATTAAATGCTATTAGCTTGACTAGTAAGAGAAATACAGCTACTGAATCCAGAACTTTGAACTTGTTGTATTGACAAATGTTGTAAAATCTAGTTGTGAAATAAATGAAAGTGGTGGAAATAAAAGTTGTGAACTTGGTTGAAATAAAAAGAGAGGAGGTTGAGTCCAAACTTAATTTTTATGACTTTCTAATGACAACTATACAATTTCTTCTTCATGGACCCTCACTCCATCTATATCTCACCTTTTTATTTCCTTTTTTATATCTTTTTCAATTTTTTCAATATTATATATACATAGCAATAATTATCACCAATAATCATATAATGTTAGAAAACTAACACGGTCGGTGCATGGTGTAGGACTACTATTTTACAAAAGTGGTGAAAATGTTGTTTTTGTTTTATTGTTTTCAATAGGAAAAAGAAAAAGAAAATGTTGTTGTTTATTGTATTGGAATTTTGTGATAATGGTATAATCAATCATGTTTTTGAGATGAAATGATAAGATATGATAGAAAGTAATAAGTGGATGCATGTAGTTTGTCAATGTATAGTGGAATTACATAAATGTGTTTCTAGTATAGTTAATCTAAGAAGTAACTGAGTTTTGATCATCTAATTGATTTTTAGAATGAATGTAGTACATTTATGAAATAAATCTTCATATTCAAAATTTAACCTTTTACCAAAAAATCTTCATATTCAAAACAATTACAAAGAATGTCATTATCTTTAATACAATACATTTAAAATTAATAGAAAATAGTTGAAAAAATGAAAATGAAAATAATCTAGATATTTAGAAGATTTTTTCAAATTTTAAATTATAATTATTTTATCATTCTCTCTAATATTCATAACATACGTGTTTTAGATTTTGTCATGTAAGATTCAAAACTATAATTCTCCTATCATCTTTGTAAAATTTTATTTTATTTTAACTTTTTTGAATCATCTTATAATAGAAAAGTTAATAATATATTTATTTATTTTTTTGCAGTGATTCGAATTTTTTAAAGCATACATATATTACACAATTAATATAAATTGTGCATGTTCAACGTCCATATTGGCTAAAATGTTTGTAGAATGATTTGGAATCTTATTATAAATAAGATCAAAATAAATCCAAATCTGAATGAGCATGAGGTTAATAAGCATCCAAATTTAAATTTTATACAGTTAAAAGTTATATGTTGACTTCATTGTTAAAGGTGCATTGAATATGCATTAACACACATAGTGGACATCTAGATTAATTTCATTTTGTCACTGAATTCATATCTTTGTGTCATTGAGATTAATGTGAAATTTTATTTAAAATTCAGTTACTAGTAACTTCAAGCTTGTGTTAAATCATAATAATTAATACTAGTTTTTGATTAGTTATGGTAAGTCACCACTTTGTCTTCTTCCTCACCGCCGCTCACTTATTCGTCATCGCCTTCCTCATAGAGAGTCGTTGTTGCTATGTAATGGTTTGTAATTTGAAAGCATTTCTGATATTAAAAAGTCGTAATTTACAGACTGTTTGACGATGATATATGTTCGTCGCAAATATCGGTTGTGTGTCTGTTAGATATAAAATCGTTAATAGATCACATAGTAGTCATAAATGCAGGTTTTCATGTATATATATTTTAAATTACATCAAAATAAATTTATTTTGTAAGAAAACCTAAAAATAAACATTATATCTTGCACAAAAATAAAAAATATCAAAATATAAATTAAATATTAATAAAGATTTATCAAAAATATAGAATTTTTTTTTTCTTTTTTGAGTTGTCTGCGAGATAATGTCCTTGACTCATTGCCAATACTCACTATTTAATACAATAGAAAACGCCTTTGAATAAAATCAACTTTGTATCATTTACAAACTATATTACAAACAGTATCTTTATATGGGCCTAATGTGAAATTGTGAGCCCAACACCAAAAAGTGAACGGTAGCATAACAAATTTAATTAAACATCAACCATATAATTAAGAATAAAATTGTTTCAACAGTAAGTATATACAATATTGTTGTAACATTAATTGATACTTTGATAGAGATTGATCTTGATCAGTGGTAGTGTACCATCGTTTTCTAAGCTTAAAAAGGGTTTTCATATTTTCCTGTTTTATAATAAGGTACCAACCGTCCTCTCATCATAAATGATGGAGTGACAAATACATATTGTTATATAAAATAAAATAAAATGATTTGTTATTTTTGGGCTTTGTTTGTTCGTCTGATGGACAATGACTTCAACATCTTAATTCTTAAGTATCAACAATCATAATATATTCGTTTTCTAGCTCGTCCTTCAACATCTTACTGTGCTAACGTTTATCTCAAATTCTCACTAATAATTTAAATAACAACGTCTTTTATTTATTGATAATAATTATCGTTACTAGTGTTTAGTATAATTTAGAAGATTTATATGGTTGCAAAGGTTGAAGTAAATCCATCTCTGGATTATACCACTTTTTTATTTACTATTCATTAAATGTAGTCCGTAATAGTATGGTCAAAAAAATAGAAAAAAAATTGATACGGACCAACTCCGGACCGCTTTTACATACAAATAGAGTTGCTTTGCAACGGTTTGTTGTCCACCCTAAAATAGAGCAGACTAAACTGCTGACAGATTTGTCCATCTCAACTGTTGTAACCATTCGAATCCTTAGAGTATTTTTAGACTTACGTATTATTTTAATTAGATTTAGACTTATGTATTTATTCTAAATATTTTCCCACTAATCTTTTGTTTTACAAAAAAAAATACTTTTTGAAAATTTTAACATTTAGTATAAGAAGAAACCAATAATCATTAAAATATGACTCTTATGTCAATACAAAATTACTAAATGGTAATGCCTAAAATTCAGTTTATAAGCTTGAACAAGGGGTAAAGTAGGGAAAAACTTTCAGTATATTGCTGCAAGAAAAAAACAATTAGTGGTGTATATAATTTTTTTTATAAATTAAGAAGAAATTAAAAAAATGAAAATTAATATAATCTAGATAATTGAAATGATGGTGCATTATGTTATATTGAATGACATCTTTTTCAAAGTAAATTTATTTAATAAATATTACCTTGGTGAGAATCCTAATTTTTGTTATTTTCTATTTGTAAGTTCATATTGTAGTCTGAATAGATGGTTTCTAAACTATTTTTGTTAAACTGAAAAAAAAAATCAGATTACACAAAGTTAAATACATAGAAAACAATTTCCCAACGTGCACAAAATAAATGGATTAAAAACACCACCTTTTAGAGAAATGAAGCACGTGAAGTATTGTCCGAGACATGGACAGTTAGTTCACTTTTGCATAAATCACGTATTTTTCACGTGCATAATATCCTTGTAGTATGTGAAAATGTACTACTTGGGCCAAATGTGCCAAATGGTATGCTATTTGATTATGATCATGCATAGGACATAATCGAAGACAAACTCTTCAAACCGGGTCAGCCTTATCCAAATCATTCATATCAAGAAAAGAACATGATTCGTATATTTGCATCTCTTCATTCGATTTGGAGAAGAGATCATATATTAACATTGCAGTCACCTTCCATAAATATCAACCGACTGCCTCGAATTGCATAGCACTAATAACAAGAGAAACACACCTTAGCTTCTTCTTGTAAATCGATGCTTGCTTGTTTGAGTTTTAAAACTACCATAGATATTGTATGATTTATGTTAATCTGTTCCTGCTCATGTTGTGTGAGTTGCTAAACTAGTTATAGTTGTCATTATAATATTACTTGGCTTCTTCACTTGTAGTATGCATATAGGCCAGATGGTATCAAACATCACCAACCCCATCTTCTTGAATTAGTCCAATTAGTAATGTACTAATATTCTCAAAATTTATTTGCATCGTCATAAAGATACTGCGATTAAGATTGAATATTAAATCTTGTAACGATTTTATATACTCTCCACATAAACTAAAAAAAAATATGAATTATATCTCCATCACCGGTAAGTCATAGATGTTAATTAGCATTTCATATTAGTCATCCAATTAGTATATTTTCTTGAAATTTTTTAGTATCGTCGTAAAAATACCAATATTTAAATTGAAAACTAAACCATTTTAACGATTTACAAATTCTCCACATAAACTAAATATTTTTTTTATGAATTCAAATCTCCATCACCGGTAAAATCATAGACGTTAATTAACATTTCTTTTTTACAAATTCTCCACATAAACTAAATTTTTTTTTTTCATATCATTTCTTGATCATCAGTTTGATGCTAAACATTTTTTTTTTTTGGTTAAAGGCCTTTCAATATTTAACCATAAATAAATACACACAAATTATTTGAAGTTATATACAGTATGTTGTCTATCTATGTTTTGAAGTTGGTTTAGTTCAAATATAGATGTACTTAAATATAGAATACAAATTATGTTTACTAAAATAGAAACTAATTATGCTCACAATAATTCAACAAATTGTTGTTCCGATCACACTTTAAACTAATCCGTGTGAAAAGAGAGTATGATGAGTTAGGCGGAACATGGTACGGCGATGATTGCGTGATGCTCACATACTAACGTAGTTGTCGGGAATCATCAGCAAACATGTGTCGAAGGATGATAGGTCGAGAGAGATGGGCGGTACTGAGTTACGGAAGAGAGAAGAAGAGAGAAGAAGGAAGGAGAAACATTTAGCTTTATAGGTGAAAGTGAAGCCTAACGAATATTTTTCATAAGAAATGCTCACAAGCAAGAGTTTGGCACTATCTACTATTCCTTTTTTTTGTTTTCTTTTTTTCATTCTTCTCAACCATAATAAAGCTGAACACTAATACTAAATAATTTTATATGTTGTATTTTCGACCAAGCAACATTTATAATAGTACAAAATATCAACGAATTAAAGTAGAGTATTCATTATTATTATTAAAAAATTGTTTTTCTTTTAAGAAACGAAAACGATGATTAATATGTACATGTAGAATTTTATTATAAAAGTTATGTAACTAAACTTTGATTCCAATGCTTAGATATTTAGATGGTGGGTTTCTTTAGCCAGTTGATCATCTAATTGGAATGAATCATATAATATGAAAAGATTGTCATATAAACCAAAAACTATAACTTTGTTTTAAGCCATTTAAGGTTTAGTTCAATGATACTAAAATAAATAATTTTAGGTGTTTTAGGAGTATTATCGTGTTTTAAATTAGATTATCAAGTTTTAGTAAAAAAATTTGATGGTTTATCTATGTAGATTGATTTGTGATTGGTTGAATCATGTTTAAGTAAATAAAAGTTAATATTTTAGTATAGAAATAAGTAAAAATTAAAAGGTGCATAATTTTTTAAAATTTTAAATGCAAAACCGAAGCCAATAGTTAGTAATATTCATTCTATTTTCCACTATTTTTACAAACAAATTAAGTAATAATCATGTATGGGTTTAGTTATGGAGTTATGGCCTAAAGCAACACTTATACTTATGGTATAAAATCTTTGTGATAAATAAAGGGTTTAGTGGACTGAAAAATCCAACATATGATTATCCATCATCTCTACTTACAAATCATTAAAATCCACAACCTTATCATTGCCCATCACTAATCAATAATAAAACAAATTAGTAAACAAAATCATTAATAAATTAAAAACCCAAAAAAACAGAAACCTACATGGGTCCCCACTTCCCCCAAGTCCTTTTCCATTTTCATAAATTATGTTTCTTCTCCCATATTATTACGTGTTTCACTTAACCACCGTCTATTCAGATCTATCACGATCCAACTGTGAACACAAAAAGCAGCGTAGGTACACCCGCGTCGTAGAAGATAAAAAAGTCAACGATGGTCAGAGTAAGGAAACCTCGCTATGAAGTGAAGTTAATAAACACCGCAGCTCCCGAGGCAGAAAAAGAGTAAAATAAAACATTAATTTTAAAAAAACTGCAAAATACATTATTTTAATTTTAATTTTTAAAAATGTTGGAAAGAAATTTTATTAATTTATTAACAAGAACAACACAGTAACGCAATCACACAGACTCCACAGTCCAAGGACCAAGGAGAGCTTTTGTATACATCAATCATCATCTCTCTCTCTGGTTTGAATCGGCGGCGACTGAGTCAACTCGGTGGGAGCTGTTTGTTGTGACTTGTTTTATGTGTTGTTTGATTTAGTTGATTTATGGATCCGAGTGGGATGATGAACGAAGGAGCTCCGTTTAATCTAGCGGAGATCTGGCAGTTTCCGTTGAACGGTGTTTCAACCGCCGGTGATTCTTCGAGGAGAAGCTTCGCCGTCTCTGGGACGAATCAGTTCGGTGATTCGGATCTAACCTCTGCTGCCACTAACGGCGATCCGGCGCGTATGAGTCACGCGCTTTCTCAGGCTGTGATCGAAGGTATCTCCGGCGCGTGGAAGCGGAGGGAAGACGAGTCTAAGTCGGCGAAGATCGTCTCCGCCAATGGCGCGGTACGGATTTTTTTTCCTCTGTTTCTTTTTTCCCGGTTTGATTCGGTTTTTCCCGGTTTGTGATTGGTATATATTTGTTTGGTTTAGAATGAAGGTGAGAACAAACGACAGAAGATAGATGAAGTGAGTGATGGGAAAGGTGAAGCTGGATCTCCTGGAACAGAGACGGAACAAAAGAAGCAACAGATTGAACCAATGAAAGATTATATTCATGTTCGAGCTAGAAGAGGTCAAGCTACAGATAGTCACAGTTTAGCTGAAAGAGTAATGATTTTTACATGATGATGATACAAGAGCTTTCTTATATTTGGTTGAATGAGTAAAAGAGTAAAAGACAATTTCGGTTTGGTGTTTTCGATAGGCGAGAAGAGAGAAAATTAGCGAGCGGATGAAGATCTTGCAGGATCTTGTACCAGGATGTAACAAGGTATTGTGAACTTTTTATATTTACATATCTTTGCAGAGTGGTAACATGATTGGGACTTGTTAATGTTTTGGTAGGTTATTGGAAAAGCACTTGTTCTTGATGAGATAATCAACTATATACAATCGCTGCAGCGTCAAGTTGAGGTGTGAAACCTCTTTCTTTCTCTTGTGTATTATTTTGTTACTTGACACTATATGTGTGTTCTCATGAGATGGTTTGCGATTTTCAGTTCTTATCGATGAAGCTCGAAGCAGTCAACTCAAGAATGAACCCTGGCATCGAGGTTTTTCCACCCAAAGAGGTGATGATTATTCTCCTGACCTATTAACTAAAATCTTCTCCACTTTTGCAAAATGTTTCTGTCGAGATTTTCCCGGGTATGAGTCTCGATGTTTATGTGGTTCGTTCATTTAAGCATTGCATTCTCTGTTTTTGCTCCTGCTGCCTAAAACAACTTAGGACATAACTCAAAAGACTGTTCTGTTTCTTGATATAGTTGGCTAATCTCTGTTTTTTTTTTGGGTGAAACTCAGTTTGGTCAGCAGGCGTTTGAGAATCCGGAGCTGCAATTCGGGTCGCAATCGACGAGGGAGTACAGTAGAGGAGCATCACCAGAGTGGTTGCATATGCAGATAGGATCAGGTGGTTTCGAAAGAACATCCTGATAAAAAGAACAAGACTTGGTCATCATCTTACTACAAAAATAAGAGAAAATCCCGAGAAGAAAAAAGCATACATACATACATACATATGAATCTCAATTCTCATTATAGGTTTTAAATATATGGATGTGAATATACACATCATATTGTTCTAAAGAAAGCAAAAAAAAAGATAGAAAAGAAGATATAGTTAGTTTCGACATCAAGAAACTAGAAAAGCTGGTGAAGGCTTTTTAAAGTAGAAATTAATTAAAACCTCTTTGTAAAAGAAAGAACGTTCTTTGTTATAAAATTGTATGATGTCTCTCATTCTTACATATTTACATTACTTATACTTAAAACTTAAGAAGATACTAGTGATGGACCCGCACGTACGTGCGGGGTTATTTTTACAAAATTACGATTTTTTAAGTATATGATATTTTGGTAAAATTTTGCTATATGAATTTATTTGATAAACTATATATAGACATACAATTGTAAAATATAGATATTGTATTACATAATACAATTTTCAAATTATTTAAATGAAAATGATAAGTGATATTACGTGTTTATTTTTTAAACTAATCAAAACATTTCTAACTAATGCTTAGACATGTTAAATCGGATTTGGGTTTGGTTTTAGTTTGAATTGTTTTATGTGTAGTTTATAATGGAAAACCCGTCATGTCTCATTCCGTCTCGTCCCGACCCGTCCCACCCCGTCCTGTCCCGTCTTTTATATGTCATAAAATCTCTGTCCCATAATCGTTTCTTTTTAAAACATAATCATTTGGCAATGTTTATTATAAGAAACTTGGTAAAAGATTTAGACGGGATACCCGTATTCCTCGTTTAAATATTTATTTTTATCAAAATAAAAAAAATCTAATTATCAATCTAAGTCACATGCTCCCACCATTTTCATTCACAATGCACTGTCTGTAATTCTAACATACACAATTCTTGTTCGATTTTTAATTTTATTGATCTTTCAGTTTCATCTTTATTTCTCATTACTTTCTTCAATTCAAAGATTCATGTTTTAGCCTTTTTGTTTTCTAAAGATTTAGGTATTTCTATTTTTTTAATACATGGATTTATTGTAGTTTTGTTATCCGAAGTATACGTTATCTTCTTGTACCCGTCATTTCATGTCTAAATATTTGAAATAAATAGGAAAGTGCAAATTAAATTTAGCAATTTAAATTACATGTCCCCATATCGTACTCGTAGTTTTGTATTTGAAAGTTAAAAGTGAATTTAACTTTGTGACCGTGTCTCATAACAATTATATCTAATCATGTTTTGTTTTTTATGAGAAATAATTCAGATAATGTTTGTTTTCAAATTATATGTTCCCGTCTCATATCCATTCCTATAAGTTTTTTATTTAATAAATAACACCATTTACATGTAACTAAATATAATTTTAGTATATGTAAAATTTCATATAATCGTCCAAAAGTAGAGATTTATACGTCCCAAAGTTGAATTTTGTTCAATATTTTGAGATTTTGAGAATTAAATATAACTACCAATTTTTTTATATTTCAACCGGTTATCCAAAACTTATATATCATATTTATCAAGGATAGTTTAAAATTGTACGTATATGTGAGATAATGTTTGTAGATATTTATTTATTATATCATCTATATCATACCAATTTGACATTTTATTTGGTTTCAATTAGATTAAATCATAAAAATATAATCCATTTATTATTTAAAAATTGGTAATAAGTCGTTAAAATCATTTAAATGTGATATATCCACTTGTTATTTAGTTTTAATCTTAATAGAAATTCTATATGTTTATAATCTCAAAATGTAGTTTATGATTTGATAAAACAATTATTTAATATTTGATAATAGTAATTATATGAAAATTGCCATGGATGAAGATTTATTTTGTTAAAATTGTGTGAAATTAATAAAAAAAAAGAAGTTTAGAATAATCAGTAACTAACTGTTTGACCAAATAAAAAATCATTAACTAATTGAATTAATGATAAATTTTGTAGATATCTTTTGTGCTACAATTGCTAGATTGCTTTTTGAATATGAATATTTTTTAATGTGAAAATAAGAAATTTATGTGATATAAAATGTTTATTCGCATGATTTTAGCAAACAAATATTTAATTATTAATTTATTTAAATTTTATTTATATTTTAAAATTATATAATTTTTAAAATTTGATGATATGATCAGTTATGTATATATACTATGTAGAATTTGATTAGTTGATTATTTCATATGCTAACATATTTTTTTATCTTTTTATTTTTCTAAAAAATGTTATTTTTGTTTTTTAGATATATGATGATTTTGTTTTATTAGATTTCATTCTATATAAATAATTAATTTCGAAAGAATATTAAAATATTAAATTAATTTTAAATATGTTTATGTATATTCAAAATAGATATGTTTACATATATTTAATTTGGAATTTAATTGTCCACTTTTTGTGGTAAAAGATTATTATGATTTCCATAAATATAGATAGTTTTTTTTTTTTTTTTTTTTTTGCTGTCATTAGTTTTGTTTGGCAACTTGAATATGTTTCATGAAATTTTTTTAAAAAATTGGGGTGTTTGGCTTTAAGTTGTACTTCCCAATTAATAGTATAGATGCTTAGTCACACATCTCAAGCCTCTTACGCACGTTCGATGGATTCAAGCACTCACTTCATCGTGTAATTTTAACCGTAGGATGGATTCTGTTTTTTGATCTAAACCGTTGATATTATATATTAGATGATATATAAGTAAATCATAATTTTCTTTCCCAGCTAAATCCTTTTACAAAGAAAACCCTAAAATGGTTCGTACCAAGAAAAAGAAAACCCTAACGTTGCCGAGAAGAAAGCTTCCCTTAGATATCGAAGAAGAGATACTTGTTCGCGTTCCACCTCGATCTCTCCGTCGCTTCAAATTCGTCTGCAATGATTGGAACGCTCTTTTGAACAGCGAGAAGTTCGTTAACAAAAACTTTGCTTGGGCTCTCTCTGAATTCATGATAAAGACAGTGTCCCAGAATTCCCATACTTACTCGATAAGCATCGATCTCAACGACGATCCAACCATAAAAGTGACTGATTTATGCTTTGATTTACCCCATTGTCGCCGTAATAATGTCTGTGGGATATGCGATGGTCACTTCTTCATCTACTTACATGAGGAAGGAAACCTGCTTTGGAATCCGTTGTTGGGAAAGCCTGAAAGGATTGCCAAGGCTGTTGTTATATGTGACAAAGATATGGGTTACAAATACGCTGGTACCAAAAAGAATTACAAGATTATTGGACATTGCCGTTCTCAATGGAATGAGAGAGCTGTTTCAGTCTTAGATTTTGCAACCAATGAGTGGGAGGATACTCATCGTACCAGTTCTGGCGAAGAGTTAGCAAGAGGCTTGTATAGGGACGGAGACTTGGGTAGGGTCTCCTTGAATGGAAATCTGTACTGGACAGGTTCTAAATATCCCCACAATGGCGAGTATTTTATCGAAATGCTCGATTTTTCGAAAGAGATAGTTAAGATCTTTTGTATACTACCATGTGTGGGGAAAAAAGTAGGTTCCCATACTCGTGCGCTATCGATTTATAAGGGAGATCGGTTTTCAGTGTTACAACAATCCAGAAGCACAGGAGAGACTAAGATTTGGGTGACAGAGAAGAAAATTGGCAATGGGGATGATGGAGGCAATGTGGTGTGGATTAAATTCATGAATATTTTAAGACATGACTTCCCCATGATACCTAGGTCGCAACACTCTACAAGTTACTTTGTACATAAAAACATCTATGGAAAGAGCTTTGTTATGTGTTGTCGTACCAAGAAACCTAAACAAGCTTGGGTCTATATTGTGAAGAGAGATCTATGCAAAAAGATCAAGATAGATGAAGTGGGATGTGAGTTTGATTCATCTGCCTATGTTCCCAGTTTGATCACCATACCTCTTAAGAGACTTTCTGAAGATAGTCAACAAGAAGATGTTTTACAAGTTTGATTTACATTGTGTTGCGTTCTTGATTTATTTATATACTTTTAACTAGTTTAAATTCATTATTCGACAGATCAAACTGAAACGCATGTAGGTTGTTTTGATATGAAAGATTTTAAATTTGTTTTTCTTTTGGAGTCATTATCATCGGTTTGAAAGGATTATATATTTAACTTTTCCTATAGGTTTGTTCAACGTCTGTGTGTTTGTGAGTGATTCCTGTTACATGTATAGCTTTACATAGAGAGAAGAAGAGAACAACGATAGGAATTTTGTGGGAAACTTTTCTTTGAATTTCCTTCGGCGAGTTTTCCTTTGGCATTCCTCTCGACGGGAAACAGTAAAAATTGGATTCGTAATCTCAAACCAAAGATCCACCGTGAACTTAGGATTTGAGTAAACCTCACGCCAAAGATGGTTAGAGAAAGATGGTATAGTGACGGCGCACAGAGAGATAGCGAAAGAAGATAAGATGAGGAAGATAAGTTTTTCATTAGCTTTCCCAAAAATGGCTAAGTGTCTTACAAATACTAAGTCGTAAACCGACTAAATGTACCAAATAAAGATTGTACCGACTACCGACATTACATTATTTGAGACATAAGTAAACCGGATAATTAGGATTTATCTTGTTACAGTTTTTGTAGTAAATTTCTTTCATAGTTCCTACACCATGTGTTTTTCTTCAAAATTTGGAAGGTTAGTGATCTTAATTTGTGTGCTTACTATGTTAGTGATGTTAATTTGCGTCATGACATGCCAATTGGTTGAGCCATGGAGTTTAGTGATAATTTAAAGCATATTTATCTATGTCAAGGAGGAGTTAACCATAGGATGGATTGTTTTTTAATCTAAACCGTTGAATTATTTAAACCAAAACGATGCTATATATATGTAAATCATATTGTTCTTCCCCTGCCTGTTTTACAAAGAAAACCCTAAAATGGTTCGTACCAAGAAAAAGAAAACCCTAACGGTGCCGAGAAGAAAGCTTCCATTAGATATCGAAGAAGAGATACTCGCTCGAGTTTCACCTCGATCTCTCCGTCGCTTCAAATTCGTCTGCAAAGATTGGGACGCTCTTTTGAAAAGTAAGATTTTCGTCAACAAAAACTTTGCTTGCGGTCGCTCTGAATTCATGATACAGACACATTCTCACATCTACTCGATAAACGTCGATCTCAACGACGATCCAACTATAAAAGTGACTGATTTATGCTTTGATTCACCCCGTCGTCACCGTTATTTTGTATGTGGGATCTGCGATGGTCACCTCTTCATTGACTCTAGTTTGGAAGGAAGCCTGGTTTGGAATCCGTTGTTAATAGAAAAGCCTGAGAAGATTGCCAAGGATGTTGTATGTGGCAGAAGTATGGGTTACCAATACGATGGTAGTGGTACCAAAAAGATTTACAAGATTATTGGATGTTGCTCTACTGATAGGATCGATAGAGTTGCAGTCTTAGAATTTGCAACCAATAAGTGGGAGGTTACTCATTGTACTACTTCTGATAAAACTGTAGGATCAAGAGACTTGTGTATGGTCTCTTTGAATGGAAATTTGTACTGGACAGGTTCTAAATATCCCCACAATGGCGAGTATTTTATCGAAATGCTCGATTTTTCGAAAGAGATAGTTAAGATCTTTTGTATACTACCATGTGTGGGGAAAAAACAAGGTTCCCATACTCGTGCGCTATCGATTTACAAGGGAGACCGGTTTTCAGTGTTACAACAATCCAGAAAAACAGGAGAGACTGAGATTTGGGTGACAGAGAAGAAAATTGGCAATGGGGATGATGGAGGCAATGTGGTCTGGATTAAGTTCTTGAATATCTTAAGACCTGACTTCCCCATGATAGTTAGGCACCACTCTACAAGTTACTTCGTCGATAATAACATCTATGGAAAGAGCTTTGTTATGTGTTGTCGTAGCAAGAAACCTAAACAAGCTTGGGTCTATATTGTGAGGGGAGATATATGCAAAAAGATTAAGATAGATGAAGTGGCATGTGAGTTTAAGTCATCTGCCTATGTTCCTAGTTTGATCACCATATCTCGTAAAGAGACAGAGACACAACATATGAACTCGATTAGTCGGTGCATGTCTCATATTATACATACGACCAAACAAATTCATGTTGGCTGATATGTTGTCTTGTGTCCCAGTCCATAGTTTATGTTGCCATCGTGCCCCATCAATGAATGGAAGGGATTCCAAGCCTTGAGAAAGTAGTTGCAACAGCCTCGTAAACTCATCTCAAATGATTTGTAAAAAGTCATTTAAATTTTTAATAAATCTCGAGTTATTGGATTCCAAATTTTATAAAGTCAATGAAAGTTTTGTGTTATTCAATGAAAACAAAAAATCTAGGATTGTCAATGAATTCAATTATTATGTTATTGGTTTATGATTTTATATACTTTTCTTCACAAAAATAAATTCATGGAATATATCATTAAATTGTTTTTATGATATATGTTTTGAAGGTGATTGTAAAACACTTATTAATAATATTAATGTCCAATCAACTAATCATATTATCCTTAGTTTACTCCGAGACATTTACTTCTGGGCTGCAAAATTCTCTTCTATTACTTTTTATTTCGTTAAGAGAGCTTCTAATGGTGCTGCTCACAATTTAGCTAACTATGGTTGTTTTGATTGTAATTTTTATTCAAATTCTATTGTTCAGCCTGTTTGGCTTTAGAACCAACTATGTATTGACTCTTTTACATCAATATAATTACACTATTAGAGAAGAAAAAAAAAGAGAAACTGTTTGGGAGACTTTTACAAAATTAAAAAAAGAAAACTAATCAACAAGATTATAGAAAACTCTCTAGCAATTCCTTAAAATCTTCCACTTATTCACTTTCTATGATTTTATTGAAGTCATCAAGATTCTTTATAAATAAAGAATCCAATAACACCTCTTAAATATTTGCTTTACAAATCCAAATTTAAAATTAAAACCGGAAGAACCATTTTGAACTGGTGTTACCTTTAGACTAACATTATTGGGGGTATTTTAAAGGGTTAAAATATCCCAATAATGCTGCCGTTACTAACTAGTAGTTTGAGAATTTTACAGTTTGAAAACGGTATTTTAGTAATTTTAAAGGTAATTAGTCCAAAGCAAGTAAAATGGAAGTTGTGTTTTTTTTTTCAAAAAAAGTTTCCGTTACGTCATTTTTTCTTTAAACGTTAAGGGTATTTTAGTAACTCTCCGTTTTAACGGTTATATCATCTATCTCGCAACACACACATTAGAAAGCTCTCTTCTTTCTTCATCGACTCCAACACAAACGTCTCAAAATCTCTTCGCTGGGTATCTCAGCAAATCCTTCTTCTAAATTTTGTCGAATTTCTCCTGAATTTTTTTTCAATTTCAACATCGTAATCTGGTCTTATCGGATTAGAGAATCATCTTATATATAAATCTTCGTTAGGTAAACAAAATCCTTTTCTTCGACATCTCTCTCTCTTTTTTGTTTTGAAACCCTAATTTCTCCTTTTGCATCAATGTCTTTTAGAAATTGAGTACCGGCGGCCTTAGGATATCAAACACCCAAAACCTAGGGTTCCGTTGCGGCAAATTCTGATCTTTCTCATCTGTTTATGAATCGTGTATCTATGTTACTCGATTCGATTATTGCTACTGTTGCTTAATTTATCCCAAATCGTATGTTAATCTTCCTGCTTTTATAATCCCTAGAGGTCGATTCGTGTTTGTTTTTGTTATTTCATCGATTTTTGATTTTGTGATTTGTTTGATTTGGTTTTGACAGGAAGATCAAGGGGATTCTGATTCGAGGTCAATAATTCATGGGATACTATCAAAGATATGATCGGAAATAGCTTGATGTTCGTGAAACGTGGTGGTGACTGGTAATTGAAGCTAAAAATTGTTTAGTGCTCCTCTCTGTTTGTGGTTTTGATTTGTTTGGAATCACTGTGTCTCCGGTTTGATTCAGATTGTGTCAAAGCCTTTGTTGACTGAAGATAAGAGACATACGATTCATGCATTCATTACATTCATACATCATATACATAAACACATTCAAGCATTCATACATACATACATACATTCATACATACATACATTTATTCATACATACATTCATACATACATACATACATTCATACATACATACATCATATACATACATTCATACATTCATACATTCATACATTCATACATTCATACATTCATACATTCATACATTCATACATACATTCATACATTCATACATACATTCATACATTCATACATACATGCATTCATACATTCATACATTCATACATTCATACATACATCTCTGTTTCAAGTGGCTTCTTTAGTATCAGACTAGTTCATACTTTTGTAAATGGGCTAAAGGGATGAAGGAAAGCGTGTCTTGACATACAACTCACTATGGCCTGGTACTAAAAATCCTCTTTCGAATTGATTATGCACCATCTATATATGTTTTGCGTTGTTTAAGCTTATCATAATTGTTTCACATTCTGAGTTCTTAATTTTTGCAAGCCTCTGTAAATGGTTATCGTGATTAGCTTTGTTTTTTTTCTTTCAGACTTTTGTGGTATTAATATTTTATTCTTTTCAATTTTAGCTCGTAGTGGAGATGAAAATAAATCAGGTATACTTGTGTTCACGTTGGAATGAGAATAGTATGCAGGTATGCGTAAAGGTATGAACATTATTTGTTCAATGTAATTGGTTGTCTGATTATATCTTCTCTGTTTCCTTTTTCTAGTTCATGTTAACAATATTAAAAGCTTTAGCAGGGCTAGTGTCATAATGTGTTTCAAATGTTTTAAAATCGATTTCTAGTGTTAGCTTGAAGGCTTGAAGTAAGGAAACAAATCGGTAAGATTCTGTCTCTTCACTTATTTTCTTCTATATATAACTGTAACGTGTTGCCTAAAGATTATAATTATGTCCTTTTTTATTCTTAGTATTGACCAGTTTGGTGATTCGTTCGCAATATACTGTCGTGCTGCAACCTTGGCTTTGAAAGAATAGATAGAAGGTTTCCAAGAAGTCAAAAACTATTCAAGTCAATAGAAATCTTAACCCTGTGCTAATATGCAGGTATGCTTGTGTTGTTCTATCTACAATCTTCTTATATGTATTATTAGAATTATTCCCGCAAAATAAATTTAAAGAAGTACATGAGTATATTACTTGGAAATGTATGTTCACAACAAGTCATTAAAATCATCACTCACATATTAAGACTTCGAAAATTTTCCTGAGAAATGTATTGTACTTTGTATTATAGGTTAGTATCATATGAAGAAAAGGTGAAATTCAGTTTCTAAATGTTGTATTTAGAGGTCAGTTCTATTCTCGCTGAATTAGTTCTTAGCTCATTTTTTACCCATTTGATCAAAAATTTTGATAGATTTTGGTGAGGATGTTGGAATGAAATATAGTACATCTGCCATCAGAAATGCTACAATCAAACTTTGGGATACTTTACAACACGTTTGTTGGTCTAGGTGGCTACAAATTCCTATAAGATGCTTTTGCTATTTTCTAACCTGTTTTTGTTAGACGAACATATCTGGATAACTAACTTAAACTCTATTATTTTTGCTTTCAGATATCAAAGAGTTTCTTAATGATGTCAAACCTGCAGTACTAAGTAACAGTCCATTGGACACCAAATTTGAGAAAAACTTTTGAGTTACATTTGCGTAAGTAGTCTTTTGGAATTCTTGTTTTTAACTTGATGTGCTTATATTCCGTTCATCAGGGAACTACAGCTCCAAAGAGAGTTATTAAGACGACTTTTAAATGCCAACCTCTGCTAGAGCCTAGAGGTATGTACAAAGCACCTAGAAAATATATCTATAAAAGTCTTTAAGAGTCATGATTTCAAGGTGTTGTACAAATTGGTAATCTTCCTTTTTATCTAAATTGAACGCTTCTTTTGAGGAAATTTGTTATAAGCTTTAGAGTTGAAACTTAGTCATTTTAAATTTTGTAGATGAATTTGGAGTCAACTGATCCTCTAAATAAAGTTCTGGAAGAAAATAAACGTTTTCAACCAACTGAACTGGTATGAAGTCAAGAGCTGTTTTCGTAGTTCTTTAGTTGTTCATTCCAAAATTAGTCATGAATGTTGATCATTTATCTGTACTAATTTTTTTTACGTTCGATAGGAGAATTATTTATGGTCTATGGTGACGACTTTAGGGAGGAAACAAGTCTTATGATGCTAGCATTGATTACCATTGGAGATGAAGGTTTTGTAGTAGCCATGAAACCTGCTGTCGAGAAGACAAGCAAGGTTGGTAATACATATCAAGCATTTAAAATAATATTTTTCTCCTGGAAAATATAACTATGGGTCCGTTTTACGAAATACTTGAGTGATCTATTGGCAAATTCTATATGATGTTCTGTAGTGTCTTGGTGACAAAAATAAGTACATGAGAGATTGCACTTTCGTTGCTATTGAGTCGTGCCTTGGTTTTGGTTATGTGTATCTTGAAAAAATGGTTTGTCATAATCTTTCTTAGGCATGTCCTCTTTTTTTATTAATCGCTGCAGATTCCTAATATGGGAAAATGGAAGCAAAAGGACGTAAAGAGCGTTTTCATTGGTTGACACAACATCTTGCTGGATTTAGTGACTTTGTGGATGCCATACATTTACTTAAACTTGCAAGCAACACGCAATGATGGTAACTTATCTAAAATTTTATACCGCCTCATCAGTTTTAATGTTTGTTTGTAATGACTTCATTTTGGTATGCTTCAATGAATCTTTCCAGATTCGAAGCAGCAAATGTACAAAACACAGCCGAAGGATACATTTCAGAGGTGGACAAGAAACAGTAGGAATCTTGGTTGACAAAATAGCTTGTTGGATTAAGTGAATTTTTGGATAGTTTACATTTACTGAAACCTGCAAGCAACCTCAACGATGGTGACTGGTGAATTATCATAAATTTTGTACTACCTCTTCAGATTTAACAGTGATTAGGTTTGTTTGTAATGACTTCAATGAATCTTTTCAGGTTCAGATCAGTAGATGTGTGAAAAACTGCAAAACTGCCGACGGATGCATTTTGGTGATCTTCAGAGTCATTGGACAAGGAACGGTAGGTTAGCTTTTTCTACTCATGGCTAGAAGCCTAGAACTCAATATCTGAATGGTTGTGTGCATTTTTTCTCAGATTGAAAAGAATATCAGAAGATACCTAAGGCCCAACATCAGTCCTTATGCTTGAAAAGATAAGACCATGATTTGTTTAGTGTACCCTATTTGTCTGATTGATTCTCTCCTCTCCGTTCCCTTTCTCTAGTTTGTTCTAACAATGTTTTTCTTCAAAATCATCAAAAGCTTTGGCGGGGCTTATGTCGAAAGATGTTTAGTAGATTTCAAAATCCACTTGTAGTGTTACCTTGAAGCAAGGAAACAGTTCAGTAAGATTCTGTCTCTTAACATAATTTTTTCTTATTGTTTAATTGTGACATTATCTAAAGATTAGAAAGAATGATATTTGGTGGCTGAGTGATATATTTGTTGGTAACAAGAAAATGGTATATGTTTATCTAATTAGCTTTTGTAAATCTTATTCCACAGCTCCAATACTTCGAGATGCAAGGGATCCAACGTTGAATTATAGAAGTCGTATAAGACTCAATTTACCCCACAAAGATGTGTCAACACAAACACATCTACACATACTCACGACAAAAAAAAAATAATCCACGCTCAAACTACTAAACCTCGCTTGCCCACGAAACAAACAATAATCGACAAAAAAAAAATTCCATACGAACACTAAAACCTTGTCACGGCCACGAAACACATAAGAATCGACAACTACTCCACGTTCATACCAAAAACTTCTCATGGCCACAAATTTTGGGAAAATTCCCAAAAAAATACACCATCTACTTTTTATTTGAACATTTAAATACCTAATTTTTTTTGGTTGAAAAAATAATATCCAAACAAATAAAAGTGTGTAACTTTAAAAAAAAAAAAAAAAAT